TAAAATTTTTGAAATACAATTATTGGATGAGAATTTCTTGACAAACTTTTACTCATTTACCTAAACAATTAAACATATTCTATTAAACAGCATTAATTTTCGACATTTCCTTAAAATTTATTCTTTAAATTTTTCGTTCAATACTTTTGATCTTCTTCCAACAATAAAATAGAAACTTATTTTTAAAACGAGCTTGCGAAGAAAAATTTTGTTCTAAATATAAAATAATTTTGCTCTATAAAATGGATCGTTCATGAAAAATTATTACACATATAAATATTCGAAGGACTTTAATAAATTTTTTATTTAAGGATTTTTTAAAATTACATTGAAATTATTTAAATAACTAATGTATTAAAAATTAATTTAAAAAAAAAATATACACCTAAAAGTTTGCAAAATGAAAAATATAATTATATAACCTTCCCTAAATTTCGTTAACTACATACATACATAATGTAAATGAAACGGTATAGCAGTCATAAATTTCCATGAACACCTATATATACAATATGTATCTATAATTTTGTAATATGTACATAGATATAAACATAAAAAGTATTTATGAGAAAACAATTAAATTTAGGTTAATAATTATTTTTCTTGTTAAACACAACGCAACATCTTGTAAGGAACAAATTAAAAGGCATTTACGAGTCTTATGATAAGAACGTGTTTACTTTATTTACTTTTATTGCTTACATTTACAAATATAAAAATATATACATATGTATATATGTTGTATGATATTATATTCTTGGTTGAAAAATTCTTATTTTCTCAACAATTTCTGAAAGTTAATTTTCTTGTATTTCTTTTTTTTTTGGTTTTTGTTAAAAAGTAGAATGGTAAAAAATTTTCAACTACTGTTTACTCAACTTCAAATTTTAAAGTTAAAATTTTTTTTTACTATTTTATTACCGTGAAATATTTTCATCTCAGTTACTTCCAAATTAACTCTTTAACCATGATATTTTTATTTCGAACTTTATCCCATACTTCACAACATTGAAATTAACCCTCTTTTTGTCGGAATTTTTTCCTCCTTATTTTAAGTTTCTCGTCATAATCAAATTTGGTTTTTGTATAATAATCGTTGGTTGTCTTATTAAAAATGATTTTTCATTTCAAGAAAATTATTTCAAAAAAAAAATTTATTTAAGGTTTATTTTAAAATTTTACATAATTATATAAGGAGGATAAGAAGATTTTTAGCAGTTTTTCATAAAAGTTAATGTCTAACGATTAAAATTAATGACAACATTCAAAGAAAAATTAAAAATGGAAAGTAAAATTATTTTTATTTTTTTTTTTTATTTTACAGGGTCTTTTAAAAGTCGTGGACAATTTTTCGAATTTTTTTTTTAATTGTATTTTTTCTTTCTTAGTTCTATTTTTAATAAAATTTCTAAGCCACTCCATATTTCTTTGCATAATTTTAATAAAAATATTGATTTATGTAATAATTATATTATATAAAAAAATATATTCAAACTCAAACCGATTTTCATGGGAACTTTAGATTAAATATCAAAATTTTTTCCTGTGTTTCGTGCATAAGACGTACTCGAATAAGCAATTTAAAATAAAATATTCGAAATTTCAAGAAAAAGACTATAATAAATTCTAAAGTTTTGTATGTTTTTCATAAAGTTCAAAAATTAAAAAAATGGAGATATACGATATTTTTTTTTCAAAAGTTACAGTTGGTAGTAAAAGTAATGGAACATGTAAAATAAATAAACTATGCTATTGCAATCTAGGCTTTTAGGTTCACAATTGCGATTCACAAAATAAACACGCCCAAATTATTCAAACAAAAACAACATTTTCAATTGAAATAAAATATAGAAAATTCGTATGGAAAAATAGATTTAGTGAATAGAGTGATAATTTAAATGACATATTTCTGACACATATTTTTCAATAACAAGCCAAATTATTGTCAAGTACTTTTTATAAAAACGGAAAATAAACCAAGTACTTTAACAAATCAAATTCATACTTTATCCTTTAAAATTCACTGTCAGTTTGATTTTATTTAAATAAATTTTCTACAAATATTGATATTAATTTAATTAAACGTTTAAAAAGAACAAGGGCTCTAATTAGCACGCAAAGAAAGAAACTCAAGATGTAAATTGAAAAAATACCGCAATTTTTACTTTAACTTGTATGAAATTTTAAATCTTAATTTAGTACTCATATAATTTAAATCAATCATACATACCAGTATACTAATTTACTATGTATAACAAACCGAATATTTTTATACCCTTACGAACGTATGTTCGAAGGGTATACTAAATATGCCTTACCGTTTGTAACGCTAAGAAATAACTGTCTTAGATATAGAACTGTCAAGTGTATGTTTTTGATCAGCGTGAAATTCTGAGTTGATTTAGCTTTGTCTGCCCGTCCGTACGTCCCAACGATAACTCAAAAACTAATTGAGCTAAGTTTACCAAATTTTTACAAATGATTTATTGTACTAAGTGCCAGAACCCTATTTAAATTGGACATGATCGGGATACCGGTTCGGGTAGCTGCCATACAACTTCAAAATTTATTTGGCTATATCTCAGAAACTATAAAAGGTACGGTATTGAAATTTCACCCAAGCGAATATATTAGTAGGGTCGAAGTGCTTGATAAAATTCGTTAAAATTTCTTGGCTCATTCTAGTAGCTGCCCTACGACTTCAATAGTAGTACTGAAATTTTGCATAAATTAATATGGTAATACGGCAACTTAAAGTCATAGTCTGTCCCATAGGCAGTTATTGCATATTTATTCGCACACAGAATAATAAATTCGTACGGGTATCATAGAGTTGACAAGGTCAAATCTTTTTTTTTTCTCGTTAATTAAAAATTTTATAATTTTAGATACAAAAGTTTTTGCATGACACACAATTACAATAAAATTCCAATTCGGCCCAATTAATATTTTTAAAAGAATGTTTGATGTTTACTTGTAAATTAATCCGATATCTACAAATTTACTCTTTCAAATTTAAACAATAAAGTATGAATTACAATAACAAAGGTAAAAAGGTATTGCACAAAATATTTATTTGCGATAAGCAACAACAATCATCTTTCCCTTCTTTTTTCATTTACATAAATTTAAAATCAGTAAAAATCAGTAAAGGATTTTGAAAATATCTAATAACACACATATACTTGTAAAATATAAAAAAAATTTAAACTCCCCCTCGGAAATTTTATAAGATTTTTGTAATTCAATTAAAAAAAAGGAATAAAAAGAGAAAAGTAAACATATGAAAAATTTTTTAAAAATTCTTTTTTCGATTAATAAGCGTTTTTTTTAACAAGCTTTCAAAAGTACGCTTCATTTGATTAATCCATTAAAAATATTTCATTTTTATGAAATCGACATGGAAATACTTAAAATGTTTACCATAAAATTGATATTCGGTAAGAAAAGTTAGAAGCGCACTTATTTGGCTTTAGATGGAGAGAATAATGCGATGCGATTAAGCCTTTTTCTTCCTCCTATTATTGTAAGAAAAATCAGTATATGCTTACATCTTATCATGCTGTTGAAAAAAAATTGCATAAATTAAAAATATTGTAAATGTAAAAAATTTACTATGATAAACGCAGTCAGGGTCGGATCAATCACTTGTTGTGTTTGAAAATAAAATGTCCGAAAATCAAACCAAAATATAAAAACAAAACCATATAAAAATTTAAGTATCTACATAAATAAAAAGGCAAGAAATCAGGCCCGAAAGCTTGAAATTTTGCTAAGGATTCATTGTGTGTTTTAGCAGCCTTCCGTTCATCCATCCGTCCGTTAACATGTTTACAAAACTCCTAGACCCTTGACGATAGAAAACTGAAATTCTTTACTAGAAATTTTTTCCGTAGAAGAAAATTTTTAACTATATCCTCCCCTCTAAAAGTTTATAGCTTCCAAAATCTTAAAAATGTCATTTTTTTTAACTATTTATTGCAGCGAAACCATATGCATTTTTCATATTCTGCAAACGCAAAAAAGGAGTGAATGGCTTGTTCTACTTTAAAAACATAAAAATGGCCGTTAAAATTTCCCGTTATCTAAATATCCGTCGAATTCTTCCACCTTCACCACCTCTCAAGTTATCGTCTTTCTAAATTTGTGAAATTTGAATTTTTGACACCTTATATTTCCGAAACTGTAAACTTTTCCAAATTTCTTTAAATGCAGAAAGGTAACGGTAAATGCCATGCCATTGCATAAATAATTATTTTGTTAACTAATGCAAATAACCCTTAAATTCGAGCATTATGTTAATGCTCCATTAATATTTTTTTTTGGTTGTGTCATCCTAAATGTATGCAATTCTTCCATATTTTCGCATGACAATTAAAATAATTTTAAAAATGTAGAACATAGATTGTTTTTAAAAGCACTATGTATTTTGAATTACTGAATGGAAAGTACTACATTACAAACCATTGGTTTGACCTAACTTGTTTAATAATTTTTAGGCAATAATTAACATGTTTTCGTGAAATTTTGTGCATCAGCTCTATTCCTTGTGAGAAAAATATAATAAACTTTTCAGTAAGATCGTATAAAAAAAATTATTTTTTTAGGTATGTTAAGAAAGAATTTAATACAGGAAATGTCATTTAGGGAATAAACAATATCTGATGTATATTTTTGATATTAGAATAAAACTTATAATTCGGTGAAGTTTAGTTATTAGTTCCTCTGGCAAAAGCATAAAATTTTTAGTTTAAGTAATAATTCTACCCAATTATCAATTCTAACTGGAAAATTAAAATTTTTCCCTTTGCATAATTATTTAAATATTCCCCACATATGTACATACATAAATGCAACACATATTCAAGACAAATCACATTTAAAAATCAAGCGGAGATTTTTTTTAAAAAAACTTTATTGTAATTTTATACCTAAAAATATGAAGAATGATAACTTTTATACATCTTTTTTTAATAATATTATATACTTTTTTTCAACAGAAATCCCTTCTATAGAGATCCATGTATTGAATATCGAAAAGACCGAAATTATCACAATAGAAATATTGAAAGAAGCGATAGACCACCTTGGACTTTTGATAAACACAGAAGATTTGCGGATTTTACCAATTCACCTCCAAAACATGTAGGTATTTTCAAAAAAAAAAGTAATTCTAATAAATTAAATCTATACTAAACTGCAATAGATTTGTTTATTTGATGTATTTGTCTTTATGTTGACAAAATAATAAGTAAGAATTAATATGTTTAAAAAACAATATTTAAAATTGAACAATTTTAAAAATTTTTTTACAGCATTTTCAAAACTTCTATTCAACTGGGCAAAACAATTATACAAATTCAAATAATTCTAAATTTAAGAACAAAAATTACAACAAATCACATTATTATGCAAATAAAAAGAATAAATGCCGTAAAACCAGATGGGATAGCCCTCATGAATCTAGAATAACTGAGAATACCCCTACAGATAAAAACAGTAATTCAACATCTCTAAACAATAATTCATCGTCAAGTAGTACAATTAATTATACAAAAAATAATTTTGAAAATGAACCATCTATAGTCCATGGAAATCAACCAAATTCTATCAATAATTCAAATCCAACATCCAGTTTAGATAAGGTTTTCGATAAAAGGGATAAAAATTCAGAAATTAATAAAAATTGCATTGTTAAAAATAATAATAATCGAAACAACAACTCAAATGCGGTTAATACAAACCTGGATTCTGAAAATCTTAAAGTAACTTCAACTACAGATATTTCTGAACCGCATATTGGAGAATTGTCTAACAAAGAAATAAATTCTCATTATAAATCAAATTTTACAAGAAATTTTCAAAATAGCGGATATAACAAATATTCGAAAAATAAATATAGAAACAATGATAAAAAGACTGAAAAATCTCAAACTGCTAGTTGTTCTTTTAATCAAGACAAAAATAAACTTAAAGGAAATCAGAATTCCGTTAATGAAACCGAATTAGAAAATAAAGACACAAATTCTAACAAAAAAACTATTGAAACTGAAAATTGTAATGAGAAAACAGTTCAACTCAAAAAAAATTTAAAAATTTTGAATATTTCTAGATCAAAAAATTTAAAAATAGTAAAACCTAAATTAGTTCCTCGAAAAAAAAATTCATGCTCGACTTTACAAAAAAAGAAATGGATTAACTCAAAAGTTTTCCCCTCCAATAAAAATCAAGTTGAAAATGGTAAAACTGATCAAAATTCAAAAGAAACACAAAATCACATAAATTCCATATTGAAAGATTTTATTACTGATGAACCGATAGTTAGTGAATCATCCGAACCGAATGCCAATAATATTACAACAGAAAAAGCACCTAAAATATTTTTAGTACCATTAAATAATTTACTAAAGGAAAGTATACTTTCGGAAATTAATTCAGGTAATCTATTTCCAGATAATATTTTAGATAGTGCCAAGCAAGATCTAACAGAAAAATTAGTAAATAAAGTAGCTAAAATGGATAAAATTGGCATTAAAAATATTATCAATAATCCAGCAACAAAATTTGATGAAGCTCTTAAACAAAAAGCTAGACAACATTTACGTGAAGAAATTCGAAAAGAACTACGTGCTTTGCAATATGAACAAAATAATGTTGATAGTCGAAATATACTCGATCAAACATTTGAATCAAACCCGTTATATAATCACGAAGCAATTTCACAAGCTGTCTTAGAACAAATTAGACGTAAATTTGGTATAGATTTTCTTCTCGAAGCAACCTCAAATGAATCTCATGCAAACAATAATTTTCTCGAAACAGCCTTAATCAATTCCACAACAAATCTAAATATGGATAAAGAATCAGATTTAGTCAATAACAACAGTAATATAAAAAGTACTAGGGACATTAGTTTTGTCGCTGACAGTACATCTAATTTAAATACTAATGAAGAAATAATACCATTTATTACACCAATCAATGAAGACTTAAACACGATAAATAGTTGCGAATCCTCAGTTAATACCGAGATTGTAAGTACAAATACATCACCGAACACACAAAGAAGAAATTCATTTAAAGCTAATAATTCATCATTATCTGAATCATCAGATTTAAATATAAATTTCAGCGAAAATACTTTAGAATCTGCAAAATTAGAATCAAAAAATTGTTCTCGAATTAATGAGCAACCAATTATTATGAAAAAAGAATTTATAAAATTGTCACCTAAAAGTATGGAAGAAAAATTAAAATTATTACCAGATCGGCCATCAACAAGTAAAATTACACATAGAAATAAAGTGAAAAGTTCACCATTAAAAAAACCTTCTAAAATTGGTTTTAAAGAAAATGAAATCCTAATTATTGATTCAAGTTCAAGCTCATCTAACGATGATTCCAGTTCTAGTGAATCAAGTTCAGAGTCTGATTCAAATTCAAGTTCTAATTCAAGTAGTTCTAATTCTGAACGCAATAAAAAAATCACAAATCGAAAGAAGCCTCATAAAAAACGGCTTGAAGCTGCTGTAATTAACCGTTTTAGAAGACTAGTATTACCAAATTTAAGTAAATATTTGCAAAAGAAATTCGAAGAAAGATACTCTAAGTCATCTAATAATTCAACTATTAATTTTATCTACGATATCTGTTTAAGTAAAATATTTAAAAATAGCTCTTTAACACAAAGCGCAAAAAAAATTTTAAAAACAAATTTGAAATCATTAAAACAGCAAGAGTTTTTACAGTTCTTATTTGATAATATGAAAGATTTATTTCTTTTATCGAGTCAAGATAAACACACTAATGAAGTTTTAGGTTCACCCTCTTCCAAATTTATGGAGAATTTTAGTGCTTCAAAAATTATTCCAGAAATCAATACCGAGACAAGTAATATAGTTGCATCAGAAACTAATCAATTAGAAAGTACATCTCTCTCAATATGTGATAACGATAAAAATGATAATGATAGTGTTAATAATTCAAAAGACTTTTGCATACCGCAAAAAGATTCTCCAAATAAGCCAACAATTCAATTTGATAAAAAGTCATTAAATTTGATTGCAAATGAATTAAAGAATTTCTCTGAACAAATAAAAGTTTTAATGACAGAGAAGCAGATAAATTCACAATCATCAGAAAATTTACCCTTGAGTTCTTCAAATGTTGATGAAATGAAAGAAAAAAATTCATCATCAGCATCTTGTGAAAATTTAGTTCACATTGAAGAAAAAAGCGAAAATGAATTTTCAACATTAAATTCTAATAGGATTTCTTCAATAAAAAATAATTCAATGATAGAAAATCAAACATCAAACAATTTTGATGATAGCAACACTGCTACAACTCTTGGAAATTTTAATTTAACTATTTGCAATAACGTTAAAGAAAATCAAGATAATACCATTGATGATAATGGAATTAATAACGAAAATAACAACATAGAAGAAGCATTTTCTAATGAAAATGTAGATAAAGCGAAAATATCAAACTCAGTTAACGCGACGTCAACAAAAATCTCAATAAAACAGGAAAACTGCGGTAATAGAAATGATAGTGTGCTTCAAAAAGAAGACGATTTATTAAATGAAAGTAAGTGAAATTCGATTTTGATTTATATTTAGCAAAACTTAATGTGCGGTCAGTGCATAACAAATAGAATTGTGTATTCTGAATTCAGTAAATCTATTCTTTTCAGTTTTGTAAGAGGGTTGCACGAACTTGTAAAAATGTCTTCTAAGCATGTATTTAAAATTTTAAATGAATTAGTAATCGTTTAATTAGCAAACTATATAAAATGGTTTATTAAAATTATAAAATAGTAAACAATTTTAATACAAAAGCTATTATCAGAACTTATGCATCCCTAACTAAGTTTAGTAGAATAGCAAAGCCCAATCATATAACTTGTTTATATAAAGCAAGAATATTACAATTTTGGTACTTCCTGCTAATCAAAAATCAAATATGCAGCTTTTAAAACTATTTCTTCATTTTTTGTGTGAAAATATTAAAATTTTAAAAATTTAAATTCAGCCTGTACGTTTTGAAATTCATAAATTGAGTTTGTATTTATGTCAAATTAAAATTTAAATGTATTTTTTAATAAATGCATACAAAGTATGTAGGCATTTACTTGCTAATTACTTTAACATTTAAATATTCAAAAAAAAAATATTCTTAATAAAAGCATAATTTATTCCATAATTTAATTACAACAAAATTAATTCAAAAAAGAGATTCAAAATTTAATTCTTTCTTGAAAATGTTAAAATTATTTCGCAAAAAAGTTGAGAAGACAAAAAGGTTTTTTTCTAGCATCAGAAGCGGCATTTTATTTGCCAAAAAATTAAATCTAATCCCAAAATGCTTAAATATGTATATTGTTATCATAGTGGTTTTGTGATGAGCTTTATGCTAATCATTTGTAGCTGGTAAAGCAAAAGTTATATTTACAATTCATTTTGAAAAGAAAAAGGAGTACCAATTTTTTGCGTTGTCATTCCAGAAAAACCTCACCAACATCTCAATTCAATTTATGAAAACTACTGATTAATTGAAGTAGGAAATTAAAATTATGTTTCGTAGACCCTAATTATAGCCCTTAAAATTTAATGTAATAATATACACCTACAAAAAAAATAATTTTTGCTTTCAGATAAAGAACATGGCAACAATGAACAAATTATAAAAAAATATGATGAAAAAGAACTTTCATCAACTAAAAATGAGGATAATTTAGACAATAGAGCTGAAAATTCTGAAAATAATTCTAACCATCTTCGAGAAAATCATGAAAATAATTTCGGTGATGAATGTGAGAAAAACGAATATCAAAAAGTTACAAAGGATTTATTAATCGCAACATCATCACCATTACAACACTTTATGGAATTATCTGAACCTGAAAATGATTCAACAAAATATAATAATGATCAAAACATTCCTTCAGATAATGAATTACAGAGAAAAAACGATTATATTTCATCAAGGTTATGGAAATCGCCAGGTGAAAAAAAATGTATTGAATTTTCATCAGAAGAGACTACGGATAATGCATTAACGCCAGAAATTAAAAATGACAAAAACGAAAATATCAAAGATAGCAAATCTAACTCCAATAAAAATTCCGAAACACCTGATACTTCAACTACAACAACTTCATTAGATTTTACAAACTCCAATAATTTAAGAGAAAATTCAAAAAATCCTTCTCTTGTGTGTACAAATGAAACTGAATCTGTTGCAGAAAATACATTTGAAGAAACAGTCGTAAATAATCTTAAAGAAATTGATTTGAAACTGCTAGAATTACATAAACGCAAAATGTTCGTTGAAGAAATGATTTTGAAATTACAAAAGGATAAAATGGAAATTGATTTTGCTAGTATGCAATTGCAAAATGAAAAATTTTTAATTATGAATGCTACTGTAACCAAAAGTAATATATGCAACTCACAAAAAAATCCACTTTTAACATTTCAAACGTATTTAAATTCAACAAATAATATGATGAATGAGCCACTATCCGCATCTGATTATATTTCAAATATGTTCGCAAACAATCAAAAATCAATTCCAGTTACTCCAACAACTAAACGAAAACGGCCAGATTCTCAGTCAAGTTCAACATCTGGGTCTTCTCCTACAAAAAAAATGTGTACTAGGAGAAGACTTTCTATTTCTGGTGATAATGATGGTAGTGAAACTGACGAGAATTCTAAAAAGGCAAGCACTAGTAATACCATAAAGGGTACCCATTCCGAAACATACGTAAGTATTTCATTAAAATGTTAACCAGATTAAAGCATTTCTTTTTTAGTTATTTAGACACCGACAAAAGTGATGGTATCATTACTTTTTGATTTAGCTAACGTTGTGCAACTCTACAAGTTATAAAGCAAAATCTTATTTGCCATATGAGATTTGCGACATAGTAGCTTTGAAATTTTGCTTCTTTTTGTATTTTCCAATTTATATTTTTCCCAATTTCTCACAACGGTTTTACCTTAACATTCAATGTAATTTTTATTATATTCTACCTCCATACCAAACTATAGAATTTTCATAAAAAAACTATCACAAGATGTAAGGTACTTTTGAAAATACAGAAAAATAAATCATTTGTTGCACGTTTTTTATACTTCGAATTTCATAAGTATTCGTCCGCAACAATTAATTTGAATCGGATCTTAAATGAGTTTTTATAGTTCATTAGTGGCATAAAAAAAAAATGTTTTGCCTTAAAAATTTTAATATTACCAATGCAAAATTTATTATAAATTCCAATAAAATGACGTACTGCAAGTGAAACATGATATTGCTATTTTTAAGCTTAAAAATTTAGAATACCAAACCGGTTCATTATTTCTGGTGTTTGCCCGTCTTGCAAGCATAGAAAATGAGTTAGTATAGAGATAGATTTGATAGTATAGAGAGACCATTGATGAATTTTCTAGCAGACTTATGAATATAATAAATTTCATTTTATTTATTATGGTTAAAGACAGTTGTATTAAGAATGTAAACAGCTATCTATGTAGTTTTGGTGTTAAATATCGGTTTTGCCCAAAAAGATTCATAAATTGTTTTATCAGTTGCAGTATTTATTTCCTTGTATTATGAATTTTTCGGCTGTTTTTGTAAACAATAAGTAAAAAAATTCTTAAAATAAAGTAAAATTGAATTATAATAAAACCACTTTTCAATCTTGTTAACATAATTATGTTGAATTCATAAAGTAGTATATTTTATTAAGGGAAAGTAACAAATTTTTCGAAAAAAAATTTAGGGACTCCATTTTATTGACTTGTCTCGAATTTTACAAAAATGTGGTTGAACACATACAAAAATTTTCTCTTCGAAAAAGACAAGTTTATTTGATATTTTATAATTTTTGAATGGCATAACATTAAATTGAAATATTCACAAATCTTATTAAAAGAATTTGGCGATACAAAATGATATTCTAACTACAGAATACAAAATGATGTTCTAACTACACATAAAAATTTTCAAAAGAAAATATCTGGTCTTTATATGAAAATGTTTTCCTTTTGCATTTCGAATATTTGATATTATTTTGTAATAAGATTTAATTTGATCTGGCTTATAATTACTATTAATAAATTTATCTTCATTCTGATTTTGTGTTAAACTATAGAAAAGTCCAGAGCGAAATGAAAAACATAAAGTTAAATCAAAAAGTGAAACGTCTACAACAAAAAAAAAATCAACCGTGAAAGAAAAACAGTCTGACAATAAAGGTACAAATAAGTCTAAAAAGAACAACACTTCTATTGAAACTAATAATTTCAATGATGATGAAGAAGAAATTGAATTATCAAGAGAACTTTTAAAGGAAAGTAAAACTTGCAAAAATGGACCATTTTTAGGAACCAAATTAATGATTACTCAAATAAAAGTGTTCGAAAAATTTGTTATTGCATCATCACAAGATGGAAATATTTACAAATACTGTTGGAAAACCAAAGAGTTACTTGGAAAATTTTCTAAACATACTGAAAGTGTAACACAAATACATATTGATAAAAATAATTGTGTTTATTCAATTTCATTAGATGGATTCATGAGGAAGACATCAATTGAGGTGATTACAATTGCTTTTATATTAAGACGTTTTATTATACTTAAATAAATTTAAGAAAGTAATGCTAATTTTGAGCTTCTTATAACCACTGATTTATAATCAATTTCAACTGTAATCAAAATTAGAAAAATTTTTTCTTTTCAATATTTGATAAAATTATTATTACAATTTCAAAATAATTTTAAAGCGAGTCGGATATTATAATTTTAGCATTATTTTTTTTTAAATTTTTGTTTTCGTTTTTCATATTTTTATTATGTAAAATAATATTTTTAAAAAAAAAAACCGAAAATTTAATTAAAATCCATATTAACTTTTATCTACTGCTGTTTTCTAATTTAGAAATTCGGATTAGAAATGTTAGCTGTAAATTTAGAAGAACCTTTACAATCCATTGATGTGGCGTGGCATACAGTATTCGTTGGTACTAAATGGGGAAATGTTTTCAGCTATGACCTTTTGGTAAGTACAAAACTTATAAACATACACGAAATTTATAAAATATATTCATTTTCCTGGTAAAAAAAGTATTTAACTGATCTTAGAGTTATTTGATTGTTAATTAATTATTTGGTCTATTTTTTTGTTACCAATTACAAAATTTTCTCTTTAAAGTTTTATAATTAGTGACCATTTAAGCGTTTGGGGTTTAAATTAAGAAAAAATACAAAAGGATTTACAGATTTTAGAGTATTTTTCTCTTTTTTTCTTCACATTCTTTTCACGTAAATGTTGGCCTTGGTTACGCGTTTTATATTGCCATTCTAATGATACCAATTTGAGCCATTTTTGCGAGATGTTTTTGAAGAAAACTTTAACATTATTTTGGATATTTTCAATTTTACAGCAAATTAACGTTTGTCTTCAATGTCTTACATACTCTGGCTAATGATGTAAAAATTGCATACCTTATTTACAGCCCTTCATAGCACTAAATTTAAATTAAATTATCATTTTTTTTTACAAATTATTTCTTGAGAAACGTGATACTCATGAAAAGAATCTTATTTAAAATACTTTTTTATTTTTATGATACATATATATACATATATATCAAATTCAAAATAATTTTATGCTGCACACATACCACACCTATTTATAAAAAACTTGGAATCCATACTGTTTTCAATTTTCAGTGAAAAAAACAATACCAACACAAAGTCATTCTGCTTTCAATTGCAATTTCGTCCCTAAAAAGGCGTTGCATTCAAAGAAATTTTGTACACATATAATTGCAATACACCTAAATATAAATATCTTTACAGATGTTAGTATCTTATACATACACTATAGTATAGTACATACTCTGCTTTCATTAGAAAAACAATTTTACTTTTAGCAATATGCAATTTTCGATTTAAACCTCATAATGTCCCGATATCAGCTTATATAATACATTTATCACAACAGTGTTTATCGTTCTTTTTGAACAATGGCGTTTTATATAAGAAAAATCAACAAAACTTAATGAAATTTTCAATTTATTCTTCCATAACTATTAATTTAAAAATATTCTAAAAAGCAAAACAAAAAGACAATCTTTCCTTCTCGTCATTTTATCTCTGGATTTGACATCCTGCAATTCCCAAAAATTTCGACGAGTTCGATTAAGTGCCGATACAATTCCAATAGCAAATGATTAACTTTCAAACTAATAGGTTTTTAAACACTTTTTACAAGGCAATTCGGTAATGCAGAAAATTTTCATTATTATTATTAAATTATTAATCTTCAGGGGCACTTCATAGAGACAAAGCGACGACAGACTATGAGAATCTCTTCGAGTAAAAGATTTTTATGTTAGCGTTAAATTCATGTGAATTTTATGTGAATAATTTTAAAATTGTCATATGCATTAGTTGTTTTAATTTTTATTTAGTACAAGAAGATCGTCGTTCCATGTTATGTTTTGAAAGTGCATCTTAAAAATATAATAATAATATTTGCTAAGAGTACTTAAAAAAAAAATAAATAATTAAAACAAATAAAAATTAATAATTAAAATAAGTACTTAGTACTTATTTTAATTCTTAATTTCAATTCCATTTTTGCACACCTTAATACTTCGTTTTACTAACTTAATTATTTTTGTTTATCATTTTAGGAAAGCAAAATATCGGATCTCTTTGAATATTCTGCAAATAATACAATAGTAGGAGTAATAGCAACTAAATTGTCAACAAATCAAAATTTAAAAATTCTTATTGTTACATCGAAAAGTAACCAAATTGAAATTGTTAATGCCTCAAATGGTCATTCAATAAAAATAATTGAAACATCACAAAATCCAAAAATTTTTAGTACACTATCCAATGAAGGAATTTTATATTATTGTTCTACTAAAAATGAAATAAATAAATTCAATATAAAGGTGAGATTCTATAAATTATTTGAAATAGAAAATTTTTGATTTTTGGATCTTATCCAAATAAAGTTTCACAATCCTTAATTTTTATAGTTTGAATAAGATCTTGGTTTACATTAAAAAATCATAGCTCTTCTTATGTAAATTATTCTACACTAACAAGTTCTATGTATCTAGTATTCTAAAACTTAGTTTTTGTTTTTCAGACTAATTGTAAATTAGCAGCCATAACATGTGCAACTAAAGAATCAATTATTTTTATTAAACTTATAAAAAAGATTTTGCTTTTTGTTGGGTGCAATGATGGTTCAATTTATGTTATTAACAAAAGAACTGGAAAAGAAATTCACAAGTATAAGCTATGTGAAAATTTAATTACAGCCATAGATTTCTTTGGAGAAAAGGTAAACCTTTCTACTAATAGAAAAAAAATGAATAATATGATCAATATGTATTTTTTAAAATTTTAGGTGATTTTTGCTTCAAAAGATAATAGAATGGTAATGGAAGACTTGCCAAGCTGTATTTCTTCATACAAACACTACTAATTGGGCTTATTAGTGTTATATAATGTACAAAATGCTTATTGAACTGTAAATTGTACTAATTACTTTAGTTTTACAATATATTCAAAATAAAAATTATGAAAACTTTTTTTTATATTAAAAACTGAATAAAATTTGGAAAAAGTTGTTTAAATTAAAAGTATCAATGCTTGCAATGAACCTCTTATAAAAATATAAAACAAATAGCACTTCAATATTTTATATCTGGGCATAATATAATATCATATAGGAGTTAATCAAGAAAAAATGAATAATTATTGAGGCATAAAAGACGAATAGGGCAATGTTGAAATTTAAAAATAAAACTCTGATTTCTATATTATACGAATCATAACATAAACATAAAATATTAAAATTCAATCAAAAAATATGCGAAATTTTGCAAAAAGCAAAACGAAAAATAATTGAGAAAGATTTTTATTGAATATGGAGTTTTTTTAACGAATGTAAAATCAATTAATATAATATTGTGGCTTATTCTAAGAAATTAAGGGTAGCCACTGTAAACACACCAATTTATGCAAAAGGTTTGGTTATGCAACAAAGTTTTGTCCCATCGCCGTAACTCTGTGAAATAAAATCTTAAAAAAAGATCTGTAAATAATGTTTGAAGAGGCTGTAAATTACATAGTCAAACATTTCTACTCTTTCATATATTTTTACATTTCTTACAAATTTTTCCAAGTTTTAAAAGGTTTGTGTAAACTTAACTATCATAATACTGTTAGTAAGCTGTACACAAAATTATATTGCTCTTGACACACGAACTCTTCAATTGTTTGTAGAAGAGAAGTGTATATAAATCAAAATAGGAACTCAGCTGTTTTTTTAATTTTAGGGAGAAAATATTTTTTGAACAATTTCGAACAAGAAATTACAAATTAAGAAGAAAAGAGTTTAATAGTGAGCGTTCGGGCCAAATGGTATTCAAATATTTTTGTGGAAACTAAAGTGACTGTCAACCCAGTACATAGGACTTATTTAACCCAGTTCTACTAATTTATTTTTAATTTAGATATTGGATAACAGATGTCGAAATATTTTGATATTTAATATTTCTAGTATACTGGGTTTAAAAGTAAAAATAAAAATATTTTATTTTGTTGGTAGCAGTGTTTTAAGCTGTCATGTGATGAAAATTTTCATTTCGAAGAAGTAGAAATATTGATAAAACATTGTAAGTTTTATTTAATATTTTACATAGTTCATATAATCCTTGAAACTCAAATTTAGTAGATCAAAAATGGCTCTGCGTCACGTAGTAGCATATACATTTACAGGAAGTGCTACATTAGCATCAATAATTTTGATATTATACCATGTACTTACTGGAAAAGGAGAACGGGTTAGTTTTGCTTGGTTTCTAAAAGATACATCCCCATATATGTGGGCTTGCATTGGTATTGGACTTTCAGTCGCATTATCGGTAGTAGGTGCAGCTTTAGGAATACATACAGTAGGAGTAAGCATCATTGGAGGTGGTGTTAAAGCGCCGCGGATCAAGACAAAAAATTTGATTTCAGTAATTTTTTGTGAAGCTGTAGCAATTTATGGCTTAATCACTGCCATTGTTTTATCAGGATTATTGGAGCCCTTTGACAAAACAGGCGGTGTAATAAAAAACAATAATTATGCTGCCGGATACATAATGTTTTGGGCGGGTGTATCTGTAGGGTTGGTGGATTTATTCTGCGGTATTGCTATTGGTTGTGTCGGATCTGGAGCTGCTTTAGCTGATGCTGCTAATGCAGCACTTTTTGTAAAAATGCTAATTGTAGAAATTTTTGGCTCAGCTATTGGTTTATTTGGATTGATTGTTGGCATTTATATGACATCGAAGGTGAAGATGGGTGCCAAAGAATAATCAGAATAAAGATTGTTATTTTATCAATATTAACATATTATTATATACATTTTTGTTTTGTATTCGCAAAAATACTGTATATAGAAATTTTATTGAACAAATCTTTAACTTTCATGAATAATCATTAAAAGAAAAATATGTGAATTGGTGTAATTAAAATTTATTTCATGTCATAAGATAGCCAAAAAGTTTTAGTTATGTTTGTTTAATAAGTATTACTTAAGATATAATATAATAATTCAACAAATAAAAATTTGTCTTCTTGTTTTTAAAAAATATATATACATGCAAAATTAATCAGTTTAGTGCAATTAACTAAAATTATCTCTAAATCTGAATGTATAAATATAATTGTATTTTTAAAGGGGTAAAAAATGAAAACATAAGAGCAAAATTAGTCAGCTTTATATGTAAATATGTACATACATATGTACATAAGTACTTATTATTGTAAAATTGGAAGTTTTATGCAACATGTACATATGTATATGTAACACATTATAATTTAATAATTTATATAATACTTATCCTACGTTTTAGACTTTAATTTGAAACAAAATTAAATTCAAATCAAATTGAAATCGAAATTGTAAAATTTCCTGCTACAGAACAAAAAGTGTTTTTAATGAGTACAATGGTTCGGAATAAGCTGTAAACAGCAAAACCTTTCATTTAAACTACTTATATTTGCTTAGAATTAAAAATCTAAAAAGATCTTTTTTTAATTTTGAATAAATAAAACCATAAATTAATATAAATAATTAAAACATGGGCACAATTAAAGTGTATATCTAAATAAATGTATATTAACAAATTTTCCACATAATTTAAACAAAATTTCATTTGTTGTAATTAAAATTTTTAAAAAACAACATAACCTAAACCAGTAGCCTTTCATGCTGAACAGGACTGCCGCCCTTGAATAACTCAAATTGAATGTGTCAAATTAATAAAGCTAAAAACTGAGCTAAATTAGTAGATGCGTAGAAATTTTGACAATAAAAATATGAGGGGATGACAACCGGACTTAACAATGTTTGCTACGTTGATTCTCCCTATTTGGTCTGGGCTTTCTTATTTCTCAACTCAAGCGCACTTTTTTTTCTTTCTTATTTTTCAATAGGAGTCTTTTCAATCACACTTTTTTTCAATCGCTGCAAAGTTGTGATAGAGCTATCGTTGCTTTTTATTCAATCGTTGTAAGCATAATTTTTATTAATAACCACTTTCTACAAACAATTATTACGGGTGTCAGTTTTATTACTGATATTATAAATGTAGAGCGAAAAAAGGATTTTAGCACATAAAAAGATTTATTTTATTATTCCATAGTTTTTTATGAAACCAAAGAACTATTACAACCAAAATAAGATAGAATTTTTTAATTATAAGCACCTAAATTAAAAATAGGATAGGACTTTAATACGATGCAGCAAGAAAAACAAACTAAGAAAGAATATTATTATTTTAATTCAATCTACTTTTTATTTTCTTGTGTCTAATTAACAGCATATATTCGCACCTGTGCGCTTATGTACTTAGCATACAAACACAGAGCACACTCATAAGCTTTTGACTCATTCTAGCAATATGGTAACTATGTAGAAAAAAAATGATCAAACATTTCTCAGTTTCGGTCTCTGAAAGTGAAAGATTACTGATTAGATATTTATAACACACAACACCAAAGGATATTGTTTTTTTTTTATATTTTTTTATTTTATTAAAATCTAAGAACCTAAAATTCAATATGAATTTTGTAAGATATTAATAAGAATTATACATATTTGCGAACATCATATAGAATGGATTGTTATTTCAGAGAGATGAAAGTTTTATGCCAGATGACGACAGAGCACCAGTTTTAGCAGCTGGGCCTGAGACGCACTTTAAGCCAATAAAAACAATACCCGTCTTTAGGTATAGTAAACTTAATAAATATAATATAACGAAGATATTATGGTAACTAGAGAAGAATCTAGAGCAGAATAACATGATTCAATTTCCAATACTTGGTACACCTAAGGAACGAAAGAATATTAAAAGCAAAATCCAAATTGAATTTTAGCTCCTGTATCATTAAATCTTTTAATATAAGTATTGGAAGCACTTAAATTATCTTAATTTTAAATGGCAAAAACGTCACTTAAATGTGTTTATATATTTTATTCTTTGTTCATTATTAGATATAGATATGTAATATTTTGATTATTGATGTATTTTATACATAGTGTTTCAATACAACAGAATTGTTCGAGTATTTTATACTTATAGACAGTTACTTGTATAATTGAGTTGTTACCATGTTCCCCATTTGGGCCGATTATTTATGTTAATTCAGCCTCACTACTTAAAATATTTTTACAGAAATTAGGAAGCAATAGACTATCATGATTATTTTAATGATTTTTTTTTAAAATGAAAGTACTAGCATGAACATCCCTTAGTTTAAATTAAAATGCATTAAGTGTTAATGCTCATGAAATACAGTAATTCGATAGTTCAATATATTATATTAGTAAAAATATAGTAAAATATAAAAAAAAAGCTATTGAAAGCCCGGTCAATAATGCAAAATGTATATACTACGCAGTAAAAAGTAAATCATTACAATATTTGTGGGTACAATTATCAAAAAAATTCTTTCGTATTCATAATTATCATTATATGTATTACGTCCAAATAAAAATTTCATTTTTTATTTTAGTTTACATCTTTTAATATCAACAATTATATCATTTACTGGTATTGTATTAGCAATGATACTACCTGAATCAAAAAGATGCGAGGCATATTTTATTATGTTATACTTAAGGGCATTATTTTGGTTAATTACTCTTGTAAGCTAAATTTGAGAAAATCAGTATTCAATACAGATTAATTCCTAATATGAAAATTACTGTTTTTTAAAAGATGATTGATCACATTGTTAAGCATATGCACGAAAAATCAAGACTAAGTGGATATATAGATTTTCATAAAGCGACTGCCATGCATCGTAGTGTTCCATTTTATATTGTGACATTATGGAATAATGTCATTATAGTCATCCAAACACTAACACAACATTATTATGGTGATAATTTCACTTCTCACTGTATTCAAGGATTTTTGTCACCAATAGCATATATAACGCTTTTCAACGTAGTTGAAACATTTTTTTTATTTATAGTTGTGGGATCATACATTGGTAAGATATATTTCATGTTCTTGACTATTTTCTTTTACGTAATCTATGTATATTTATCTTAACTATTCTTAATTTCGCTTTATTGTGCTTCTGCTATACCAAAAAAATATAGTTATCCTTAATCTTTAAAGTTTAGTTCACATTTAATTGTGATTATATTTATTTATTCGTACTTTCTGTTATCTAATTATATATAATAAAAATTAATTTTTTTTTAGCACGAGTTTATAAATTTAACAATAGTGGTTTACCACCAGATGCTTTAAATGGAAACTTCAACGACAATATTGGCTCTGTAGGAGTTCTTCATCCACATGCTCATTTAGTTGAATTAATAGAAAAACAAGTAAATTTTTCTGCATTCTCTTCTCTGAATTTTTTTTTATTATTCCTTTATATTATTTTAGGCTGATCTTATTAGTTATTTAAAAGACCATAACACAAATTTAAATCAAAAATTAATTCAATTGAGTACAGACTTAAATATACTTAGAGGTGAAATGATAAATCGCGAAGCCGAATAATTTTTATATAAGCGTATGATGTTATAAAATATATATATTTTTTCTATTATTTAAATATATAAAAATATGATACTTATAAATTTAAATTTCTTTATTTTTTTTTAATATCTTTTTTTTTTCTTATAACAGCGAATGTGAACGTAAATGATCCGAATATGAAGAAATTGTAGTTAACTTAAACTGGGTTCGGAAATTGACAGTCTTAGTCTTTAATATTTTTGTATATGTACATTTATATAAATTATACCAGTGCTCACCATAAATGTGCTTTTGCTTTTGATATATCCAATTTGGTTAAGAATACGGAAAGTGAAAAATATCTTTTTTTTACCACTTAGTATTTAACGGTATATTACAAAAGTATGTAGTTAATATTGTTATACAAGATTTTATTTTGTGTACGCATATATTATTGTGTATAATAATCACAAATTTTCTCAACGTGAATATATTGAGGCATAATCAATGATAATATTGTAGCTTTGGAATATGGTCCCTACAAAATTTTCTAAGGTTGCAGTGACATTAACACAAACTACTTAATAAATTTAGTACCAGATACATACAACTTAGATATTGCTAGAAATACAAATAATTTACTACTTAGACAATATCAAACTCAATTAAATTTAATTTTTTTAATTTTTCATCTGATTTTTAATCATTTCAAAAGTAATTTTATTAACCATTCTTGTTTATTCTTATTTATTCCTTACAAGAAAGAATTAGCGCCAACTTGAGAAGGAAGATCTAAAAAAACTTTGGTATAATTAATCGAAAGGATAAGTATGTTTTCATTCTTACCCGGCTACAAAATTTGGTTTAGTTGAATTGGTATTTGCATTTTGAGCCAAATTTCCAAAAGAAAGCCCATCATTTGAAGAACCTAGAGCTTCAAAATATTCACTTTTTTGGGTAGGAGATCCAAATATACTACCAGTTTGATTCGAGTTCGTAGGGGTTGAAAAATTTCCAAAACCTTTAACTCCACTTCCAAACATTGCATTTCCCCCAAAAGTTGGTGAATTTCCAAAAGTTGGAGGGCTTCCAAACGTTGGAGGTCCGCCAAATGTTGGCTTTTGCAAAGTTGAATTAGGTGATGCAAATGAAGTTTGCGATTGCGATGAGGAACTCCCTGGTTGACCAAATGGTATACCTGACTGATTTGTTCCGAAACCTTCAAAAGCAGTTGTGTTGCCTGCAGCACCACTGGAAAACGATCCACCACCAGTAAAGGGTGATGTTGAGGCGGCCTGATTAGCATTAGATGAACTTCCACCAAAAATGAAACCGCCACTCCCACCACCAAAAGCCAAATTTCCAGATGGTGAATTTCCAAAAATAGTTGTAGCATTTTCTTGATCGACTAAAATTATTTAATATGTGATTACAAAATTTTACTTTGCAAAAGAAACGAGTTGTGCTTTAATACCAGTATTTGAATTTAAACTAAATGGTGAACGACTGAAAATTGACCCACTATTTGTTGCCGTGTTACTTGGTGAACCAAATATATTTTGAGTATTGTCTGTCTTTTGTTCTGCTGTATTCGTAAAACCTGTGTTTAAATTTTGCGTTGTAGAACTTCCGAATGCAGAAGTTTTTTGACCAGCCCCAAGAGAGCTACTTCCCCCGAAAATCGATGGTGAGTTTTTCTGCCCAAATTGAGCGGTTGGAGCAGTTTGCGAGAAAATATTGCCAAATGAACTTGGTTGACTAAAAACTGATTGATCTGGTTTAGGGATACCTCCAAAAATTGTATTCGTTGCAGTTCCAGCGGTTGATTGAGAAATATTTGCAGAGCTCACTGCAGAAACAACATTAAAGTTTTGATTCGGTTGCGAAATAGACGTATTGGTAGAAAATTGATTTCCCGCTGATGGTGGTGCAGTACCAAAAGTAATGCTCCCTCTAGGAGCAACAGCTGCAGCTTGATCGCTAATGTTTGCGGCAGTAGTAGTCGATAAGTTTTCAAGTGAATCAAAAGTAAAGGAGAAGTTAGTTGAAGAAGCTGGTGCTACTGAGGAGTTAGGAAATGCAACAGTAGTCGTAGAAGTTGAAACAACTGAAGGCAATGCAACTGCAGACGCTGTCGAAATATTAGTGGTACCAAAAGACACAGTAGCACTCACGGGTTTTTTTTCTGATTCTGCTTTAAAAAATGCGTATTATAGAAATATTTTTAATATAAAATAAATTCAAATTACCTGAGGATTCAGAGATTTTTTCCTTTCCAAAAGAAGTTTCGGAAATTTTCGAAGATATTGAGTCCAATGTTAGATTTACAGGAGATATTGCAGTATTTGTTGTAGGTTTCTCAACTGATTCTCCGTGCTGTGGTACGTCATTTGATATTAGTCGTGTATTTGTTGCTGGTGGATCACTTTTTATAGCTATTGGAGCCTCAACTTGAGCAGTCGCAGAAGTTTGCGTTGATCCGAATGACAAAATCGAAGGAGACTTCGAAATATTAAACAAAGGTTTTGTCGTTTCTGATATCGTAGTTAAACTGGATGAGGATTTGTTGCCTATTGATTCCATATTTGCTGTCGAACTAATTGTAGGCTGCGCAAAAACGAAAGGTATTTGGGCTGAAGAAGTATTGAAAGATATAGGGGTTGTACCAAATAGTGTAGATTTTGATGTAGAAGAAAACGTATTTAAAAAATTAGTTTTTGTTTCAGAAATCGTAACGCTTTGATTACTATTTTGAGGGTTTAATGTAAAAACACCACTACCAAAAATATTAATATTTTGAGGTGTCGTTGAGGTTTTTGCAGTTGGTTTGCAAATGCTAAGGTTTTCCAAAAATGAATCAGTTGAAATTTGTTTTTCAGATTGAATTTGCGTATCTAAATTCTTATTTGAATCAGTATTTGACGCAAGTGATGATACATTTTCAGGTTGCGAACTGTAAATATAGAAAGTATTAAAAAATTTAAGATTCTTATGTATTGAAATTACCTATCTGAGCTTGTATTCTGTGAAAATACTAATGCTGGTTTAGAGATCGTATTATTTTGTACAGTTGGTACTTGAGCTTTTACTGTGCTTTGCGAAACATTGGTCGTCTTAACATTAAACGTTAAACCAGAAGTATTAGTATTAAAAGGTTGGACCGAGCTTACAGGAGTGAAACTACCTTTATTAGGAATATTTCCAAAAGCCAGACTAGGTACTATTGTATTAGACATATTTCCGAAGGATAAAATTGGAGTATTACCAGAGGAAGAACTAAAAACTCCTGACCCTCCTCCAAATGGTTTCGCTATAGCTGCGCTTGAATTACTAGGAGTGGTAGGATTCTGACTTTTTGAAAGTAGGAGACTTGAAATGGTTGAAGAATTTTTATTTTCCGGTGTTAGTACACTTGGTTTTGTTAAACTAAGTCCCATATTACCAAATGAAACTCCATCAACATTGTTTGGTAAAGATTTTGCACCTATCAAAGTTGAATTAAATAAAGTTGGTGTTGAAACACTTTGAGTTTTCGAATTGAATGAAGCAGAATTTATTTGGGACACATTCTCTGCTGGTTGCATTTTTAAAACAACTGTATCTTTCGAAAGAGTTGTTGGGTTTTGAAAAACACTGTCTTCAGTTTTTTTTATAAAACTTGTTTGTGAAGTTGCACTAGGAAAATTTTTTTCAGACTGCATCTTATTCATTTCCTTAGTTCTAATTTTGGACCTTAAAATAACTTCCGATTGTAATCGATCTGGACGTTGAGGTACGATCTTTATAATTTTCCTGTTTTGCAAGGCTGTACGAATTGTTTCAAGTTTATTGTTATTCAGTTTTGAATTTTCTTTCGAAATTTGTTCAGATAAATTTAATGATAAGATTGAATCAGCTAAAGAATCGGGGTTTCTAAAAAAAAAAATCAAAACATGCAAAATATTCCGCAAAATTAAATAATTAATTTTACTTACATATCATTCTTTTTATTGGAAAACTGTTTAAATTGTTGTCCAGGAAAATTCAATTTTGATTTCAAGTGCGCAATTTTCTGTCTTTCTTTCGCTAAAATGTTTTTTTGTTTCGTCATTGTCTGATATATTCCTTCTAAACTCGGAATATGCATTTTTGTACTTGAATTTCTTTGAACTAAGTCTTGAAAATCTGACCAATTCGCATCAATTTTTTGTTTGATTATTTTTAAGTGTGCTTTATTGGTTGCTAAAGTACTATTTAATCTCGCTAGTTGTCGCCTACTTGCTTGATCATTCGATGGAACAAGCGTCATTTTCGAGAGCCTTAAAGAATTTTTTTTTTATTTTTTGTCGCTGGTATTTATCTGCAACAAGTCAATACTTACTGAGGATTTTCGAAAAACTCCAATTTACTTTTAACTTCCGCTATCATTGTAAAACATTCATTAATAGAATTTCTTAGTCCTTGTATTTCTGCTTCCGTTTCATTATCCTTCTCTTTATTTATAATTTCATGAAATTTCTCAAGTCTTTTTGTATAATTTTTTATATTTTCCATATTACCTATCTGAAAATTTAAAATTATAAGAATTTATTTCATTAAAATATTAAAATTTTTTAACCGAAATATTAATATCTTTTGATTTGAAAGATAACTCTTTCAGTTCCAATTCAAAGCATTGAATCTCAGTTTGAATCATTTCTTGTATATAATCATAGTTCAAAGAATCTTTTGTGATTGACTTTTCATTTATTGCTGATATATCTTGAATTTTGTTAGTCTCATTTATGTTTTCTAATGGTTTTTCAGAATTAGATGTTATAAAAACAGGTTGAACTGTATACAGAGGTTTATTTTTGTCCGGATTTTCTAGAATGCAAAATAGAATAATTAAATTTTTTAACTTTATCAATGTCAATCATTGTATATCTAAGTTATCTAAGCTTATATATATATATAATCATATCAATTTGAGGTTTTTTTAAATTTTAACAGGAAATAGTATTCAGTTTTAATTGGAAACATTTAAAGTATTTTAACGAAACATAACCATAACAGTTTTTAAAAAATAAATTATTTAATTTTGTAATAAAAAAAAACCAATGTAATATTTCTTCTAATATTTAACGCTAAAAACAGCTTTTTAAAAATATCTATCAATATTTTTTTCAATGTTCGCGTGCTAAACAAATATAAACTCTTCTTACTATTACCGGAAATTTTATCTGTTGTGGATGTTACAGCAAATGTATTACTTTCCATATTTGGCATAACGGGCATTGATTTCACGCTTCCAAATAATGGAGGCGCTTTACTCTGATTGCCTATCAAGCCACTTGGAACATGTGCTTGTTGCGTTTGTTGATTTAAGCTTCCCAAAACATTGCCGTTCCCAAATTTGATTTCACTATTTCCAAATAAAGATGTTCCGCTATTTAATGGTAAATTGCTGCCAAATAAAGGTTGAACTGATCCCCCAAGTGAAAATGCAGGTTGAGGCGATGGTTGTGATTGTGTAAAAAAGTTTGTTTGCTAAAAAAAAAAAAACAAATAAAAATTACGTTTCAAAATATACGTAATGCAAATTCTTATATTATACCACAGCAGGAGTTTGTGCCACAGTTTCAAAATTGGTGTTATTATCTGAGGTTTTATTTGTGTTTGCTGCATCGGATATATTTTGTAGTTTAGTGCCATCGTCTGCTTCTTGTAAAAGTTCCTTAAAATGTATTAGTCCAGGTTGTTCATTGCTGTGAGAGAATGGACTACATATGCTTGGAGCATTTGGATATAAATTAAGAAAATCAAATGATATTAACTGCCCATGGGTCGACAAGACATGAATCATAGGCATAATAGGTATTTCACTTTCCCCTATGATCAATTGATGACTCGACCCCGTTTCCAAACAAAAACCTATAGGATATGTTTCCAATTTATCTTTTGTCATAGGAAGACTCAACCTACACGAGTCATTTATATTGTATTCAGTCCAATTAGGTGCTTCACCGTTTTCTAATGTACCCAATATACCGATTTCCATACTATTCGAATTAGCAACTAGCAACATATTCCAAGGTTGAACATACATAAAAAATACTTGAGGAATTCGCGGGCCACTAGTACTATAACAGATGTCATAATAATTTATATAAGTTGGGTGACCTGTTTTTGGAGCATTAACTATGAACAGATTTGCAGTCATATCATCACCATCCTGCAAGTAGGCTGCTGCAAACTGGTAAGTTGACAACCACTGCACTGCTATTGTTTTAAAGGAACCATCTACTACACCAGAAAGACATTCTATAGTTCTTGCTGGTTTTAAATCCGGTTTAAATTGAACAATTTTCCCTGCTCGAAATCCAAAAGCAATCTGCTTGCCTTTAGGACTCCAACAGCCACAAAGTACTTGTTGTGATTTGTCAAGGGAATGAAACTCATACGTATTATCTTTCAAATTATACATTCCAACCGAACCATCACTCATTACAATTGCAAGAGTTGGCGAAATTATGGGATTCCACAAAATTTGATTTACTTCAACATTGTCATCTGGAGATATTCTAATTTGAAAACTTTGAGTTACGTTAGCTTCATAGAATGATGGTACGCTATAAATTGCCAAAAATCCACAGTTATTTAATGTATAATTTACAGCAAGGTATTGTCCATCACAACTAGTTGCAATGCAGTTTGGCTTCGCTGGAATTTGAATTACTCTTGCATATAATTTGCCATCACCATCTCTTGTTTCGACTAGTGTTTTTAATTGAGTCACTTAAATATAATTCTATAAATATTTGCCTAAATTTCAATATAAAACAAAATACTTACCAACTATTTCCCCTTTATAAGGGTTTCCAATAAATACTAGACCGTTTGTACTAGAAGTTGCTAGTAAGTTAATATTATTCCTCAGTACATTACTTGATTGAAATATTTGGAACTTATCATGAATTTTGAATTGAATTTGCTAAAATTTATTTTTTTAGATTATGAGTTTAATGCTTTTAGAAAAAATTCCGATATTAAAATGCGTTATAACTTACTTCAACTTCTAAGGGCGGTGGAGCATTTAAAGCCATTTTTTAAAACAAATGAAATATTTTCCAGTTAATAAATAATTATGATTTAATAATTTTTTTAATTCCTTAAAAATTTTGCGCTTAACTTACTTTCATAAACATAAACCATACTACTTAAAATTTATGACATTTATTATTAAAAATTAATCAACTGCCAACACCTTAGTTCAAAACCATTAATTTCCCTTAGATTTTAACAAGATAGATAGGCCAATTTTATTGTGTCATAAGAACTAAATACCCACCAAGCAAGAAATTTTAAATTTATGAAATCTGTATAAAATCTTGGCGACAAAATTCGAAATTTTATCACAAAGAGAATTCAACCAAAATTAATATCGATATTAAATCGTCTACAAAAAACGCGATTCAAGCAAGAATTTTTATCGCTCTATTATCTCTTAAAAGATATTATGAAAATTCAACCAAAATTTATATCGCCCTTTTATTTATTGAAAGATAAATTGGAAAATATTTCAAATTGATGTCTTATATCTGTCAAAAGTGCGATATGATGTGTATTTTTATTCTGCTGAGCGATGTGAAAACGATATTGCATTAAATTTATATAATTTTAAATCTCATTTATTAAATTTTAAATCTCATTCTTATATTAAAATGAAATTCTTAAATATAAAACGATGTTTTCTTAAAATGTAAAGGAAAATGAAATTAAAATTATATATAATATTTATCAAAAATTAATAAAAAAAATGGCTGTAAACTATGTTAAAGAGGGATATATGTTTTCTTATTAATTCATAAATATATGTAAGTCTGAAATAGAATTATCACTAGTTACTTAGAATTTGCATTTGCATATAAAAAAATTTGAATAAGTATTTATTCTGCATCTTTAATAGACATAAGTGACTAGACATATACGAGGTGTTTGGCATAAGGTGGCAAAAAATTTCAGGGATGATTCTGATAAATTTTCAGCAAAATTTTATGTTTGGGAGGGTAGAGGCGGTTTCTATATACGTGAAACGATATACTCGTTTTCGAGCTGAAGGTTGTTGAACAAAAGGAGCCAGATTTTTTCTGATTTAAAAAATTCGAAATTTCTCGAAAATTTGTGTTATTATTTTGATTTTTTCGATGCGCTACAATGAGATCCAAAAGTTATCTCATATAACATTTTCTTCTATTTCTCATACTATTGTCAGTTCAATATGTTTAAAAAACATGCGAAAAACGTAAATTTCACACATTACTTTTAAAAGGAAATGGCGACAATTTATTTTTCGGGAGAATCTTGAACAGAAATCAACAGATTTTTCCCGTGACTATCGTTTTAAACAAATAAAAAAAAATATTATTAAATTTTGATGGCAGTTTGAGCTCCATCAGGCCCTTTCAGTCTAATATGCAAACAGTCATCTGCAAACTTTCCCTTATCTATTTAATCTTAGATTTTAAAAGTATATGTGAACTTAAACATTCTTGGACAAGATTATTAGATAATTTATTGCTTATTATTGCCGCACGCTTAATAGGAATATCAATTAAACTACTTATAAACATAATCAAGATCCAAAGATTCACCATAAAGCTTGACAACTGCAAAAAAAGCTTGAAATTGCGAATTTATGGTAGTAAATGCACCACCATTTAATCGCAAAATTGCGATTAAATGGTGGTGCATAAATAAGAATGCTACTGCAAAAACTCTTCAAATTTCAGCTGCCTATTAAAATATGAAATGTAATGCTTATAAATATATGACATTATAAAACTATCAAATTTTAAAGCGCTTCGGCGTAATTACAAAAAAAAATTCACACTTTTCTATAAGTGGAACTCAAATAATAGCTCACCTATGTATCAGCAAAATAGCTGTGCTTTTTTAGACAAAAACTCTTACATCAATAGTATATACATTACTTAGAAGCAAAGAATGGGACATATTATGTCATCCATAAATGTAACACTCATCGTGTAAACACATCTTTCTTTTTTATAATATTTTCCTAAATTAACATAATAATCGATGATTTTGATTGAAAAGTTTGACACCCCTTTCTTAAATGCCAAATTTCAAATATAAGCGCTTTCCCAAAATTTGAATTTTGTACATAATTTTCTGTTTATTTAAAAAAATCAAAATAATATTAAAATTTTATGACTTTTTTTTTGCCAAAGAGGGTAAAGGATCTCCCTCCATTAGAGTCAGATTCTGAAAATGATAAAACACCAGCTAAAAGGTTTTTTTTTGTATTGTATATATTAATAAGTAAATTTATTGTTTACTTTATGTAGGAAAACAGTTCCAAATATTTTAGAAGCTAAGGATGCTACCAAAAATTCATTGTAAGTCAGTAACTTATTATATACACACTTTTTTATTCCAATTTTTTTTAGCTGCCCCAAACGAGTATCTGAATTGTCAATTTTAGATTTTGATTCGGATGATGAAAAAAGTCAGGACAAGTAAGGGTTTTTGTAATTTAACTTTAATATTTATTTATTTTAAAATAAAATTTTTAGTTTAAATTGTGCTATCTTGAATGAATCGTTTTTGTTTAGTCCTGCAAGCGATAAACATTACATGGAAGATAAATACTATGGTAAAAATAAGAATATACGAAGTTCAAATGACATTGATACTGGTTATGGAGATTCTTTCTTAATGAATTTCAATAAATTAAGTGTGAATGCATCAAAAAAGAAAAACGAAAACATACAAAACTTAAAACAAGGAAAATCATTAATAGAAAATGTTTTGGAAAAAGAAATTTCTGAAAAAAAAAATCAAAATGATTTTAAAACTTTTAAAATTTGTAATGAGGATGAAAATGTAAACGAAATTATAGCTAAGGCAAATTCTCCAAAAAAATCCAGTTCAATAAAAAATCAAATTTTACGAACTAAAACTGATACACAAAGGATAAATAATGTGGAAGAAACTACACCTTTTAAAATTGGCGAAAAATCTGATATTGCAACACCTCAAATTTCATTTCAAATGCATCCTTTAAGGAAAAATTTTTTGACATCCACCGTACAAAAAAGTACTGCAAATGAATTCAAATTACAAAAAGTATTATTTCAAACGCCGTACACAGCTTCTAGACCTGCGATTTCATCTTTGCCTGCAAATATTTCTCTCGATTTTGATGAATCTGTCAAATCGCGTATTATGGAAGAAAAAAGTCCTGAGAAAAAAGATATAACATCCAAACCTAATTTCACTACAGATCAGACAGGAACGAAAAAGTTAGAAGAAGTTGGTACAGCTTCAATGCAATCGAAAAATACCGAGGAGATTATTATAAATAAGAAACAATACTTTATAATAAAAAAGTTAGGTTCTGGAGGTTCCAGCAACGTTTTTTCTGCTAAAATGAAGGACACGAATTCTTTATGTGCTATTAAGGTTTCTGCATTTAAATTCATTAATTTTACTCAAAAAATCCAAGATATTCATTATTCTTGCAATTTTTAATGAATACAATCAAAATATTTTTTCCTTCCAAGTTACCTTACAACAAATTACAATTGCTAATGCAATATTAATTTTAATTTAAAGTAGTTCATAATCTATTGTAATCAGAATTAAGTTTAAGGCTGTTAGAAGAAAAATTGCTTTTCAATAAATTAATTTATTTTTTTTACAAATTTTTTTAGATTGTCGATTTAAGAACAGAAAAAGCTGTTGCTGATGGTTATCTCAATGAAACACGTTTGCTTTCAAAGCTTCAGGGTAATATCAACGTTGTTAATTTATACGAGTAGTAAGTAATTTTAGCATTTCAAATAAATTTATAAATCCACTCGCATTTTTTTACAGTGCTAATATTGGCATAAGCAATTCAAATCATTAATGCTTCTGTTAATAATATAGGGTAAATGCCTGTAGTAATAGTCGACCAATTCTTCATTAGAAGCATATATATGGGGATCCTGATGGCGAATTCGCCTAAATTTTAAGCGAATGAGCTGTCAAAACTGTTGATGAACTTTCTGTGTGACAAACTAGGCGAATGAAAACAAAATTAAAAATAGGTGAACATTTAACCTTACCATGATCGGCGATACGAATGACATTTTTGGTATTATAATTAGTAAATTTGCCCGAATTTCAAGCGAAAGACATGTTAAAACTTTTGAATACGTTAAAAGTTCTGCGTGACAAATTAGGCGAAGTAATAAAAATGAAAAACCTTTTTAAGGTAATGGCGTAATAGCTTTTCCATTTCTCTGTGTCACAATGTTTAGTATCTGGCGAGTGAAACAATTCGCTTGCCATTTTTTGAAATGTTTTAAATCACTTAGCCATTCGCTCCCAGAAAGGTTCATAATGCCATTTTTGATAATTGTATCTTGAAACTATTGAATAAAATCATTCGCCGATAATGGTGTGAAATTTGATAAATTAGCAAAGTTTAAGGAAACTACATAATTATGTATTTTATTAGGGAAATAAATATTTTAGTATATTTAATAAACTCCTGTTTCACATTTGGCTGTAGTGTCAGTTTTCAAAAATTTTCTTCCAAAAATTCCTTTGCTTCTCCGCAATTTTATTAGATTGTTATTAGATGTGATCTTTGCCCTCAAATCGTATGACTTTAAATGCATATTGTATGTACTTCTTTCGGAAAAATAATTAAGATTTATATTTTTTTTTAATTTTACTTTTTTTAATTAATTATAATTTGCTTTAAAAATTGCAATTGCATATTTTGCTTCTTTAGTAATTTATTTCAATGTGTGTTGAATTAAATTATGAGTACCAGATTATAACTAACTAAAATATTGTCAAATCACATAAATTTTTTTTTATATATAAAACACTATTATTCAAAACTAATTTTAGTGGAATCCATTTACTGTGTATATGAATCAAGAATCTAATTAAAATTGGAATAATTTTTAATCGTTCGACTACTAGGGCGTTTACTTCAATAAAAACAATTAATTTACTTGTTAAATTAAAATTTTAATATTGGAAAGAATTGCAAAATATTTTTTTTATTTTTTAGTGAGCATCTTCCTAAAGAATGTAAACTTTATATGGTGATGGAAAAGGGAGACTCAGATTTGCACAAAACTCTTCAAAGTTATGAAACCCATTTACCCTTATATGTTTTAGTTAATTATTGGTACCAGATGCTTCAATCTGTCAATTATATTCATGAAAATGGTATCTAGACTTAATATATTATTTTAAGCAAAAAAATTTAGTTTATAATATTATGTTGTTGACAGGTATTATTCATTCCGATCTGAAACCAGCGAATTTCTTAGTAGTTAATGGAAGATTAAAATTGATTGATTTCGGAATTGCCAGTAATATTGCAATAGATTCTACTAGCATTATAAAATTTTCACAAGCAGGAACATATAATTATATTAGTCCTGAGGCTTTAATTGACATATCATCAGATAATAGCCCTTCGAAAAACGATCAACCAAAAATTAAGGTATGTATTAATTATTTTCTTTTTTTCGTATTTACATTTTGATTCATTTCTGGTAAAATTTAGAAACCTTGAAAAAATTACTAGTAGATCTCTTTAAATTTTTAATAGTACAAATTCTATTTCTATTTACTATTCAAATAATATGACGAGATTTAAGAAAAATAAATCACATATGTTTGCGTGAAATCATATTTGCGTTTAAACCACGTGAACGTTTTAATTACTTTTGTTTTTGGTAGCAGCATTTGTAGAATTTTTGTAGGCCTTATGATGCAAATTATTTTGTCCTTTTTGTCGTGGAAACATCGGTTGTATAAGCCACTAGACTAGTTTGCTACTTCACAAATGTAATTAATGATTCTGGTTAAACAATCAAAAGACATTTTTTTCAATTCACCAATGCTTAATGTTTGTCCTTCTATTAAAATTTTCCGCATAGATTTTTTTAAAAAGATTTGCAGGCTATCATTCTGCGGGAAAATTGATGTATTATATATTTTAATTGCACATTTGAATGTAACTTGGTTTTACTCTTTTTAAATATCTAATTTTTCTTTGCTGAGCTACAACTACTGCTGCTTACATACTTTAAGTACATATTTAAAGCTCTTTATTTGAAATCCTCATAAAGTATCATATCTGATAACAATCAAGTATACACACATGTATAGAAGTTAGTATTTTTTTTTGTAGATAATATATGTATAATTTAAGATATATATATGTTATATTTGTATAAAGTTTGCTAATAAATTCTAAATGTTTTGAACTTTAAAGATTTCTACAAAATCAGATGTTTGGTCATTGGGATGTATTTTATATCTTATGTTATACAAAGAAACACCATTTGGTCGTATAAAAAATATATTCACGAAGGTGAATGCTATAACAAATCCTAAAACTGTGATAGAATATCCTGAACTGCCAATGTATTATCCTGCTATGCTAAATAATGTTGGTTAACAAAAATTTTTTTGTATACAATACAGATTTTAATATGTATGATATTTTTCAGATGGCAAAAAAATGTTTAATTCATCACCCAAAAGAACGTATTTCAGTGGCTGAATTATTAAAATTTCCATTCAATATGATAATCCAATTAGATAAAAAAAGTGAATAGTATTAATTAAAACAATATTAAAATAAAATTTAAATAATGTTATGTATAATCATTTAGTATCGTACCCGTTCATATACATACATATATATTTTTAATATAGTAAATTGTAAAAATGGAATATTTTTTATTATGTTAATAAAAATTAATATACAATTAATTAGTATAAAATGATAAACGAAAAAAAGTTGATGTAATTATATTTTAGTAATGAACAACTACATATATTACTATTATTTTAACTACTTTACGACTTTTATAAGTAATCTATATTTAAATGAAAAAATGTCTACTAGCATGATTGGTAAAAATTTCAACCAACAAAACAAAAAAATATGTACATATTTAAATTAGATTTATCTCAGCTTATCCCGCATCAAATGTGAAGATTTAACCTTCTAGTTAATAAAATTATTAACTAGAAGGTTTTTCTTTTTTGGCTTTTTTGGTTCTTGGTCCACTTTCTAAATCCGTCATATGAACTAATTACAAATTGTCGATAAATATCTCAAAACTGGGATATGAATTTAAAAATTTCATTATGTTGAAAACAAATATACAAATCTTAACTCAAATGATTAACCAATGATGTCTGCATAAGTGGAAACTCAAATACGTAGCTTAAATATTCAAATTCAAATAGGTACATGGTTTTGAAGTGGGAAAAAAAAAAAAAACAAAAAATATTTTAATAACTATTTTTATTTCAATATCTTTATTTTAATCAATTAAAATATTCAATTCTCTTTAATATTAATTCAAAAGTGTGTATGGGCTTTTGTCGAAATATATATACATACATATATATATATGCTAATACACATATATTATATATATATACATATATGCAGTTATATTTGAAGGATATTCAGGCTTCCATTTCTTAATTTGATAGACACTATTTTGTTAAATAATTTATAGACAAATTACATAATTTTCCTTTTTTAAATTTCATATTTCATTTAATATTAGTGCATCAAATTTACAATATTTTGATTATACACGACAATTATGTATGCATTTGAGAATTACATAAATTGGAGCATTGATAATGTGAGTATGCATTATTTTTGTTAAATCAAATTTTGTCATTATTATTATATTGTTATACAATACGTATCACTATTCAATATTTTAACAAAAAAAGCCTGAATATTTTTTTCTCTGAATTTTTTATAAGTATGTTTGTAGTTTAATTATTCATTTATGTTTCAAAAATAAAGAATTCAAATTTTAATGTTCCTATTTTCATATTATTTTACGTTATTTTTTTTTTTTTGCTTTTTATTATTAAAATTAATTTGTTATAGATGTTTATTTCCTTTGTTTTTTTTTTTTTTTAATTTAGTAAATTTTTGAGTTTTAATTATTGATTGCACAGTAAATAAATACAATTTTTCATTTCCTTTTTTGTATATTTCTTTTTTGTCCTAAATATTTTTTAATTACATACTTTTTCTTCAATAATTTTAAAATATATCTAAAAACATAAAAACGGACAAAAATTGTTTTACAATACATTGTTTTTTCCCCGAAAAAATCTTAAATTATTTTATAAAAAATATATATATATATATATATTAATCTATATAGTAGATTTGTTAGTATTTATCCACGTTCTTATTTAGTAGTTAATATTCATGTTAATTTATTTCACCATATATTTATCTCTTCTGACTCACTTTACTTTGTTTTTTTCTTAAAACATTTGAAGTTTAACGCTTCCGAAAAACTTTATAATAAAAAATTTATTAAATAAAATAAAATCATATAAAATTGATATCAATAATTAAATTAAAAAAAATATAATAAAATGTGCTTAACATTATAAAAAGTAATTTTAAATATGCCATTATGTCTCTCTTCAAATACATAAATTCCTCAAAGATTTTCTTTTTTAATTATTTGAGAGTAGAAAAAAAAAATGTTAAATGCTATCGAAAACCTTTACAAAATGAAACATGGAAAAGTGTTCTATTAATTTTATTAATTTATTTTACTAGTTCAAAATTATCATAATGACAGAATTCAAAATTCTAAAAAAAAAAATTGAAAAAATAAATTAAGTAACAAATTTGAAGAAATAGCGAACAAAGAGGATATTAATTAAAAAACAAAAGTCTGATAGCATCATTAATTTGAATTGCGATTGTTTATTTATGAAAAGTATAAATTATGTATATTTATGTATGTATCATAAAATTTTTACAAAATAAAATAATTTATTCAAAATGAAGAAAAATATAATCCTTTCTTATACATCATTTCTTACTTAATTACATTTATTTTATTTCACAAAAAAATCTGTATTTTGCTTATGAATATATGTAAACTTATTACAGCATATTTATTTTTTCTTTTTTATAATTTATGTCAAAATGAAATTATTATACCAATTATAATATAAAACAAACAATACCTGTGGTATGTATAGTTCAGTATAAATTTTATAAATTACTAACGTTTACAAATATAATAAAAAATAAACTGAATATGCTCATTTATTGTAATTAAAATTAAAAATCGCTATAAAAAATGATTAAATAATATGTATATAAAAAATATATATGTATAATAATATAGAACACATAATGTCCAAAAAAATGATTATGTATAAATTTATAAATACATTATTTTAAACAAAGAAAAAGAGAAATATATATTTTTTTTATAATTGCTTAAATATTAAAAAAATTATTACTTTCAACATAAATTTTATTTAATCAAATATAAAAAAAAATTTATTGGATACTGTCGCAGTTACTTTTTAACTATTATTAATATGATATTTTTAGCTTTTTTGTTTTATTTTTATTCTTGTATTTTTTCAATTTTGGAAGGCAAAAGTAACAACGAAAAACTTATAAATTTTCGTTTCTTTATCATGTTCCTTTCTTCATTTTTCAATGATGCATTTTATCATTCTCTTGAGAGGTTATTATTAAATCGCCTAAAATGGAAAAGAGTGTATGTTATTACCAATTAATTTGTTTTTTTTATTAAAAGTAGTTTACAACTTAATGTTATTATTTTATTTTGTGAAAAATTAATTTTATACATATGTATAAAAAAATAAAAAATAACCAGGGAAAATAATTTAGAAATATTGAAATTAAATATTTCAATACCCCTAAATTAAGATAAACATAATTTTAAAGCAACATAAATTTAATTTTATAGGGAAATTACAACTAAAAATTTAATTTATCAGAATATACAAATTACTTTTCTGACAAATTTTGAACATCTACAAGGTGTCTTAAGCGAAATATATAAAATAAATCGTATTTCTCTAATTAAGTATGTATAAAACGTAGAAAAAAATTTTGTAAATTTTTTTTATTAAAATATTCAAGTATAGAAATTCATATTTTCATAATTAAATTTTTATTAAACAAATGGTCTAAAATTGAATCGTTAATATAGGAAATATTGACACAGAAATGTATTCCCATGCATTTTTCTGTTAGGGAATGTACTAATTTTTAATATAAATCATAAAAAGGCAATATTTGATAGAAATTTGCAAGAAATTATTTTGGAATGTAATATGCTACTTGTATTTTTTAATACAAAGTAGTGAAATCAACTATTTACTTCTCCATTTGCATTCTTTAATAAATTTATTTCTTCTTCCTGTGACTCAACGATTTTGCGCCAGTGAGCATCCTGATCCCGTGCTTGATTTTCCAAATGTTTTAACATGCTCTCCTAGAAATAAAATAATTAAATGAAAATCATTTCATTAGAAATACCCAACTAATTGATTATAATATTAGTAAAAACTGCCAGGATCTTACCGTTTTGGTGACTATGTTTGTCAACTCCTCTATTTGTGCTTTTAATTTAATATTTTGTGATAACAATTCACCGCTATTATTATCAATACTAACAATATTTCTATTACTGTTATTGCTACTAAGATTTTTACTATTAATAACTTCACTGCTATTATTATTATTACTGCTAACACTATTATGATTATGTGGAGAATGGTGATTATTATTATTATTTGAATTAAGGTTTTCACTACTGCTTTTATGTTGATTTTGTTGCTGTTTTTGAATATTATCAGTTACTAGCTCTATATGCGTTAGTACAACTTGTTCGACCCACTCATTAAATGATGTTGATAGTGCTGTTGATGAATGTTTTTTCACAGCGTCGGGGAACAATCTCTGAAATATATCACGAGTAGTTTGTTGATCAACATGACCACTTGAAGTGCCTGTGGCAGTTTGCATAGATGAAATCTGAAAAGTTTAGTACATAAAGAAATGTAGGAAGACTTTAAAAATTCTTTAAATTATTAATGGTTGAAAAAAGAAGCAAAAATTAAAGTAATCTATAAAAATATTTTATAAAAATGAGAAAAAAAAAACGCAAAAAAAGTAGAAACTTACAACTAAACTATCTAAAGAGGGTTTGATGTTAGAAGCCACTATTTTTTTCGCATTTGCTTCTGCAGTTTGTAAAGCTTCATTCAATTTCCAATTCTTTGTACGCAAGTCCTATAAACCGATTATAATATAATGAAATAAAACAATTAAATTTCGAAGAAATATTAAAAGAAAACAATTTCCTACTACACCATAAGTATTTGAACAATATTTATGTAGAAGAATAAAACATAACTTGCAAAATTTAAAAATGACATATGGAAATCAGATGAAGTCTTATTTGTAAAGTTAAAAGTTAATCGGAATTTCCTAATCAAAATTTTTCGTTACATTTAACGGAAAGAGAACTAACAAAATGATAAAACATGAAAATGGTTCAAATTGCCAGCAATAATGGTGCGTATTTGAATTATATAATAATAATGGTGTGTGGACATTGAAGAAAAAATAAATCTGCTCAAAAAAATTAAAAAAGCAAATTTTTAAAGAAATTTTTTTAATCAGAAATACTTACATTATTTTTATCTCTTTGTTCAGTGAGTTGCCTTATTAAATCATCTTCCTTTTTGAGCAATTGCTTTATTTGACTTTCAAATTCATTCAATTTAGAATCTTTTTCTGCGATAACTTTTTTACAATTATCTACCGAGTTTTTCATAATAGTCGACTCAGAACTATGCTCTTGATATTTTAAATTCAATAAACTAAACTGATTTTTTATTTCTTCCAACTCATTATTTAAAGTTATATTTTTTTGTTGGCTTTCACTTAACTGCATGTTAGCAGAATTTAATTCAGATTTTGTTGTTTCAAGTGCATTTTGTAAATTTCTTATTTCAACTTTGCTACCTTCTTTTTCATTTTCTGAAATTTTCGCCATTTCTAAATCATATTGCAATCTTTGAATAGTTTCGTTAGCTTCAGCCAAACCGGTTTCTAATGAGTGTATCTGGCTCACTTTTTGTTGATAGATTTCGTTTAGTTCAGTTAATTTTTGTTTATGTTCTTCTATTGTTTGGTGGGATGCATTTGTTATTCTTTGCAAATCATTGATATAACTGTTTTTTTGAACCACCTCATTTTGCAATATGGTATTGTGCTCTTTAATTTGTTGAATTTGAGCTACAAGCTCCTGCGAACCAACCTGTTTTTCATGACGTAATTTTGCTTGAAATTGTTGACGCTCCACTTGCAATTTATCATTTAAACTTTGTATATCAGATGTCAAAAGGACAATTTCATTTTTTTTAGCTTGCAGTTCCTCTGTATATGCTTTAATATTAGCATTAAATTGAGCCCTCTCGGAATTGATTTCAGCTCTGAGGTCTTTTAATTTAGCTTGAATGCCAGCTGATGCCTCAATTTCTTCTTGAAGTGCCTTTTCTTTTTCTGTTAATTGCTTACGCAACTTGGTCACCATATCGTCCGACCATTCATGTGCAACTGCAGCTGTATCTTGCTGCTTATTTAATAAAAAGTCAATTAAAATTTGAATGTCATTTCTGTTAAGCTCTGCTTTAGCAAATAGCTGAATGAGATAATTGACTCCTATAACATCATTTTGGCCAATTTTGTCAATTATAGATAATTCTTTCATATTATTTTTTGATTTAGTGGTATTCGATGCTTTCTTGTTCCCTTGGCTTTTCGGTGATTCCGTTTTTGCTGCGGAATTCGTAAGCATAACAGCGGGAGTTGCAGCTTTCACTTCCGTAATTTTAACCTCTTTAGCCAGAATAATCTGCGGTTCGGTTATCGTTTCAATACTCTCTTTCTTTTTATTTGCTTTCTTTCCAGTGTCTTTTGAATTTTTTGAATTTTTACCATCATTGGCTTGCATCATATTTTGTTCATCCTTATGCTGTTTTTTTAATTCTATAACATCTTTGGGATGTTGTTTTTCAAAGTGATTTATATTTTCAATTGGATTATTTTCTTGAACAGGGCTTGTTTCATTTTTGTTTACCAAAATACCAGTTTTTATAGTTTTCTTTTTATTTTGAGATTTATTTCCTACAAAAATTTAAGTAAATATATAAAACAAATTATGTGAATTAATTATTAAGGTACCTTTTGGATCATTAGTAGTTTGATCGTTTAGATTTTCTTGGTTTTGTGAAAAATCAACATGGGGTTTTGATTTTATAATATGTCCAGGACTACTTTCTACAGACGGACTCTCTTCTTCCTCAATATCTTCACTATCCTGTAAGTCGTTTTCTGCTGTAGAATCTTTTACTGATGGGCGTTTTTTATCCTTTTTGAATTCCTTCTTGACACCAAACTTTCGAATTTTTTTCGAATTTACTTTAGTCGGATAGAGTTTTTCAACTAAAGCTTTCTTTTCTGCCGCCGCTTCTTCATACGTTTTGTTTTTGAAAAACTTATTGATAAACAAAATAGAGAATAACGAAGCAAGAAAAACACAGGCAATAACAATGATTACGTGGTAATCCATATTTGCATAATTAAATTAATTTTTCTTTAATAATTTATTACTTCACAGCTTTCAAAATACTCTCTCCTTAATTAAATAAAGAATTCGCAATTGTATTAAAAACAAATTTTAACATAAAAAAAATAAAAATTTGACTAAAGAAAATCAAGTTGGTAAAATGCAAAAGTTGGTACAATAAAGGAATTTTCTATTGTTAAAACTTGTTGTAAAGACAAGATATTGAATCTAAAAGAAAAAAAACACAATAATAATATTAAACAAAGTCTTATGAAAATAGTAAGTTCTTTAAGTATAGAATTGGTTAGCCAAAATCACAAAACGGTTTTTATCCCTAAAAAATTGATGCTTACTTTATTAAACCTACTTCCTAAGCCTATAATTGGGTACAAATAAACATATTCTTACACGCACATAAAAAAAAAAGTTGCCAAAAAATATACATATAAGAAACCCCCACACAAAATCATTTTAAACAAGTGATTTGAAAATCAGATTTTCTTCACGAAAACGAGTGATAAAAAAAGAGCAAAAAAATACGTACATATAAATGTATATATATTTTAATCGTAGAGTTTATTTACCGGATTAGAACTCGTTTTATTTTACATACATAAGATAGGTACCTACCTACCTACATGTATTTCAATGCACACATCTGTACTATATATTCATCTCATATGAAGAATGAGTAATTTCAAAATTATTAAACGCCAATAACTTTTTCTTAAATTTTTACCACGTCAGTTAAACATTAATTCTTAGGAATTTATACAAAATTTGACACTAAGGAGATAAAAGTTGAAATGGGAAGAAAACTACAAAAATGCATGTTACTTTAAAACAAGTAAAACAAATATATGTGAAAAAGCTTTTGAAATACTTTAAAAATTGGAAATGACTAAAACACTTGTTTTTTTGTTCAACTGAAATACAAGCAGAAAATTATCTTATCAATAAAGAAATTCATTTTTGTTCTGCAAATGTTACTAGCTCAATTAGAAAATTAAAATTTTCTGGAAATTCGCAATTAATTATGTACTTTCAATGTCATCAGTCTTTCTTTTATGAGTTTTCTAGGTTCCTACCTGTCTACCTATTCTTAAACAGGAATCTAATAAATTTGAACACATTTCTGCATATTAAAAATTTTACACTATTAACAAAAAGAAATAACCATTTTTTCAATTACCATTTATAATTTATATTTAATGATTCTATAAAAATTTACTCCTCTACATTTCCTACATACTTATCTACATATATTCATAGTTTGTGTATACGAGAAAAATGAGCTCGTGTATAATGCAACTACAACTTTATAAAGTAATATAAAAATATTAAAATAATTAAAAGTTATTTTGCTACACTTTATAAAAAAAATTCTTTTAGAAGCCTCGGAGAAATTAAAAAGAAAGGTTAACAACCTTTTTTTTAATGTTACAGATAACCCTAAGATCAAGATCATCAAATAGCCAGCATGGCAAACTTTTTTTACGTGTTATTTTCAGATTGAAATAGTTTTTTTTAATACTCATCCGAAACTAATCTTTAAATTTGAATTCAATTACAGCTTTTTAAGTGCTAATAGGATTTTATATCGATAATTTCGCCATTATCGACATTTTCTTTTCAAACTCGATTACAGGATATTAGCTGGGGTACCCTTCTTATATGATAAACTTTCACTTTGTGAAAAATTTCATAATTTGTTAAACACATTATCACTTAATTAAAAATTACTTATTTTCAATGTGATGATATTTTGAAATTAATATCAATTATTCATTTGCTTTAGATAATCTTTTTTTTTATTGTAGAGCTTGCTAGAGCCCAGACAAAATTGATGATGTCACTTGTAAGATTTAACAAATAATTTATATTAAATTAATTATAGCGATTTTTTTAGTTATATAACTTACAGAGTAACAAATTTGTATAATTAACTATAATTATATTTATTAAACGGCAAAATTTTCACATAAATTTTACTAATTACTTTCTAGTAGACAAAACCGTGACGTACTCAATATACCGCCATTACCGCCATTGAAATATTAAATGATTTTGACTTGACGCCGCAATTCAGCTATTTGAGATAAGTCAAATTTTCGTTAAATTCTCGTATGTGTATAAAAAAGATTTGACACAATTACATTTTTGACACAGTAAAGAGCAATTTAGAATCATCGATGTTTTAGTTTAATAATTTGGTAATATAGTCTATTTTTCTTATTCTCTCCTCTCAAAAAAAAAATATTTCAGGTTGACAACAACTATGAAAATCAACGATTCTCTCCTGTCAAATTAATTTTTTCTTGCAAGGTATATCTATGTATGTATATTTCAAAGTGTATAAGATTTAATTAAAGGAAAAAAATAACCGAAAAATAAATAATTAAAAATAAATTTAAAGGAATAAATAATTAAGGAATTATAAATTTATAATTTTTAGATTGCTCTTGGGATATGAGCATTCATTTTTTGCGAATAATGTAATAAATTAAATTAAAATTATTTAAATTTTCAAAAACTTTTTTTTCAAAAAAATAATTTAACTAACTATAAAAAATAAATTTTAAAGTACTAAACTTTGCTGAACTGAAAGATGATAAACAACTTTCTGTCAAAAAATCAGAATATTTTTTATTTCTGTCTTAAAGTTTAATAAAGTTTTTTAAGAATTGAACAAGACTCTATTTTTCTCGTTCGAAAGGGTTTCCTATCTATACATACTTTTCTTAAAAAAATTTTAAATGAAGAACTCATATGGTTTTAACAATCCACCGTTTTTATATGAAATGTTATAATATGAGAACAAAAAATTTGGAATTCAAATAATGCTATTAGATAGACCTCATGGTCCAGAAATAGTGTCCAGTGAATATATCCACAAGGAACCTCAATGTCAATAATGGCCGCTCTTTCTATCGTTGTTTTTGGAATTTCAAAATATGGCTTTGACTCAATAAATATAGTCGTTCCTCTCTCTGGCCAAGATCACCAGCTTTCTCAAGGCCTCAGGACCTGCGATTAATTCTTATGTATTTTTGAAAAATTAATTTTTAACGATACCGTCAAACTACAAAAAACCTTGAAAATTGTTTCATGTACGAGATAGGACAAGTGCTTCTTTGTAAGGGTTTCCTTGTATTTAAAGCTTTTAGCTTGCCAACCTAAATTCAAACCTAAAAATTTTACACTTTGGTTTCAAAATTAACATTTATATGGACAATATTATATGGATTAACTACATATGGACCTAAGAAGTAAGAAAACCATTTAATAATAAAAATAATAAATGTTATGAAACTAATTTAAACTTGGTGTAAATTGGTAAATACTTCACATGTGAAAAGTTTGACAACCAAAAGCAGGTTTCTTATTTTAATAAATATGAAACTAAAACTTTTGAAAACATTAACGTAACTTGTCATTCATTTATGTAGTAGAGTAAGGATTTCTATTACCCCAGATTTTGCAAGTCTTCACAACTTTTGATAGTCTTAAATTAAAGTTTGGAGAATTTCCATTGTCTATATTTCAAAGTTTTGACATCGTTACGAAACTTACACTTTCTGAAAGTTTTAATAACCGTATAAAAAATAATCGCATCCCTGTTTCAGTTTTGTTTGAGAAAGTTTTAAGAGCACTCCAACACTGAATTTTTTGCGTATATGATGTACATTGTATTAATTTCTGTCATTTTAATACAAATGTGTTTTTGTACTTTTATAATGAACTACCCCTATGCATAATATGTACATTGTACAATCAAAAACAGAAAAGAAATGCATCGCAACAAACTAGTTATTTTATAAACAATTATTTTTGTTGGAAGATACATAGTATGTTATAGCTGACTGAAAAAGTACTAAAGCGGACACTTTATTTTATTCTATAATTATCAAACTATATTACATGTTCAAATTACTATTTTTAGATAAGAAATCGGAGTGAAGCTTTAGAATAACAGAGGAAAGTATATGAGTGTTAAATCATCAGGTCTTGTGAGTATATTGACAATTTAATTTTTGTTTGCATGACGTGTCAATTGTAGTGTCAGAAGTGCTAATATAGATAAGAAATAGATGTGTGGCTCCAAGAAAATTATGAAGAAAGGAACAAGAGCTTTAATTTTAGTTGGAGGCTATGGTACACGATTACGTCCTTTAACATTAAGTACCCCGAAGCCTTTGGTTGAATTTGCCAATAAGCCCATATTAATACATCAACTAGAAGCTCTTGTTGATGCCGGCGTCCATCAAGTAAGAACTATTGTATATCATTTTATTGAAAATGATAAAAAATAAAGGTTTTTTAACGAAGGTTATTTTGGCTGTCTCATACCGTGCTGAACAAATGGAAACTGAGCTAAAAGCGCAAGCGGAAAAGTTGGGGGTTGAATTGTTATTTTCTCATGAAACGGAACCCTTAGGCACTGCCGGTCCATTAGCATTGGCGAAAGATTTGCTAAGCTCAAGCTCAGATCCATTCTATGTTCTAAACTCCGATGTAATTTGTGATTTCCCATTTAAACAGTTGGAAAGTTTTCATCGTTCTCATGGAAAAGAGGGCACAATCGTAGTAACAAAAGTAGAAGAACCATCAAAATATGGCGTAGTTTTATATGATGAATCTGGTTGCATTCAAAGTTTTATAGAAAAGCCGCAAGAATTTATAAGTAATAAAATAAATGCTGGAATGTATATATTTAATCCTTCAATACTAAACCGAATTGAAATTAAGCCAACATCAATTGAGAAAGAAATTTTCCCAGAGATGGCTTCTCAGCACCAATTATACGCTATGGATTTAAATGGTTTTTGGATGGATGTTGGACAACCAAAAGATTTTTTAACAGGTAATTATTGTTTTGTATGTAGCTTCAAATTTCAAAAACAAGTTTTTTACAGGAATGTGTTTATATTTATCTTCACTAAGGCAAAAAAACTCCGAAAAATTACATAGCGGACTTGGTATAGTAGGCAATGTTTTAGTAGATTCTACAGCTAAAATAGGTGTTGGATGTAGAATTGGTCCTAACGTAACTATTGGCCCTGATGTTGTTATAGAAGATGGAGTTTGCATTAAACGTTCCACGATACTTAAAGGGTCCATTATAAAGTCACACTCTTGGTTGGATTCGTGTATTATTGGCTGGCGTTCAGTAGTCGGCCGATGGGTTAGATTAGAAGGAACTACCGTCTTAGGAGAAGATGTCATTGTAAAAGACGAACTATATATAAATGGTGGTCAAGTATTACCTCACAAAAACATAGCAGCAAGTGTCCCAGACCCACAAATAATTATGTAGATATACGATTATTAATAAATAAGGACAAAAGTTAATTTTCTTTTATAGTTTCTTTATTAACAAGAAGCCAAAGTTAAATTCTTGAGCAAAGTTAACAGGGAATGATGTAATGTTATGAAAATTGGTCGTCAAATAAATACTAAGTTAGAATTATTTTTAATTGTTAAAATTATAAAGCGCAAATATTAAGCACGTGATGCTGTAATAATAATGATTAATTTTTCAGGTAAAAAAAGGATATACAAATGTATGTAATTTTTTAAAAAAATGAACCAGCATGAATTTAAGTTCAAAAATAAACTAAAAGCCAATTTTAAATGTCTATTGAGTTCTTGCTATAGGTCTACTAGTTTAACTTTAGGTTTAAAAAGGTTTTCTAGTTTAACTTTATGAAAGTCTACTGGGTTAAGTTCAGCATAACTTGAAGCTTATTTTCTTAATAGGCTTTAGCTAAAAAAGTAAACAAAATATTAATTAAAATGTTTGATTGCATCTTTGAAAAAAAAAATTATAAAAAGAAAAAGTTCAGTAAAATTTAAATTATAATTGGATTTTCTAAAAGAACGCAGTTTAAACAAAAAAGTGCTAATGAGAATACGAATCAAAAACAAAGTTCATAATAAATTGAGATCCGAATATATGCGGAATAATTAAGAAATATTGTATTATGAAATGAAAAAATCAACTAGTAAAAGAAAAATTTTGTAGAATTATATGGAATTTAAAAGTAAAACCAATTATAATTCAAAACTTTTTCAAATAATAAGGAATATGTACTTTTAAAATCAATTCCATTAAGTTCGGTAGACTTGTATAACTACGAGATTTTTTTTTGTAGTACAAAAAAATTCAAATTCAGGAGACATTGGTAATTGGCCCTTCAACATTTTTTATACCTAATAAATAATTTTTAAAGAGAATTAATTTATATCAATCTTAAAATTTTCGAAATTATAAAATGTTTTGTAATACATATACATATAATTGTAATGTTTTATATATTTATAAAAATTTGTAGTTGCATTCCAAAAAAAGCAATAAAGTTTTTATCTTTACCGATTTGTTTGGCGTTTGGTTTGATTCCTTTTTACATTGAAGTTTTTTGTATCATTTTTTTATTTATTTAGAATTTTACATACGTATACAAGTTAGTATACGTTATATTATTATATTAGTAGTATACTGTTTAGTACTTAAAATTTGTAAATGAAAAAAAACAAGAGGTAGAAAGGTAACACCAGCATTGTCAACTGAACGGTTTATAAACTAATTCAGATATTCATGAGAAAGCCCCTGTTTTGAGCTTCTCAAATTATATTTACTAACTCGTCTATCTTGCGATCTTTCACGGGTACGTAGTGATGTTTATAATTTTAAAAAGTAAAATCAGTCAAGATTAAGTTTAAGCTCTGTAAATCGGAGCCTGTTGTGTATAACGTCTCCAAACAAAATTGTCTTGTCCCCTCATGCGATTGAGTATGCACATAATGCAAAACTTAAATTAAAATTAATGGTTGCGAAACCTTCCATAAGCACAATTGTAATAAAATGTTTATTCAACAGAAAGAAACTGGTTTGTTTTATTTTTTCCCGACTATTGCAATTGGAAATATTTACTAATCTATGATAACTGATAAGATCTACCCTTTTTTACATTTATGCTAAAAATACTAAAAATACTTATAATACTAAATGTATAATATTAAGTATATTATACTTAATATTATACATTTAGTAAAAATATTTTTGTATGTTAAAATTATAAACATATCTACTGCTATTATATAAAACTCTAGCATTTTTATAGTTTTGTCTTTAATTAAAATACCTACATAATTTACAAATAAATTTTGAAGAAGAAACGAAAGCCGGCAATTTTTAAAAACTTTTTCTTGTAGTCTTTAACTATCAAAAATATTTTATTAAAAACACGTTTGCACACTGTTAATTTTTTTAAAATGTCCTTCAAAAGGATATAGTTTTCAAACAAAAAATTTAATTTTAAAAAAATGAACAAAATATGTATTAAAAGTATTACAAATAAATAAATTAAGTTTAAAAAAATTTGCTTATTATATATAAACAAGTATTTTAAAAATTTAATTTAATTGACCAAATTATATTTATTAATTTAAATGTATATACATAGATATTTAATTTTTTTATTTTTGAAAACTAACCTCTGTCAACAATTTCTCTTATTTCTTCTAGTCTTGTTATTGAAAATAAATATGTACATATGTATGTATGCATGGTTAACTAATACATATATCTAACTATATAACTATAATATATATAACCTAAGTTATATAGATATATACATATATCTAACAGGCCACCAAGCTCAGAAGGCAAATCAACAATAAATTCCAAATTTATATGGAGTTTAAATGGAAGGGATGCCGGAATTTATTTGTGTGAAGGAAATTGATCAATATTTTTGACTCTACTGATTCTACATATTTTTTAAAATTTAAAATTTAAATTTAAAAAAAAAACGGTTCGTAAATTCCATCTTAAAAATGCGTTTAAAAAAAACATTTCCATTTTTAGCGCAGACAAGAAAGGTTGTGTTCCAAATGGAAGGGCACTGAATTACAGAATAAAATTTTTGAATACGAAATAGTATTTAAAAAGAAATTGAAAAAAAATCAAAAAAATAGTTATTTATAGTCTAATTGATAAAAACCATACTAAATAAAAAGAGAGTCACAAAGAATACTCAAAAACTTCATAAAAAAAATAAAAAATATTTAAATTCGTATATATACTTCGAAAACATAAAACATTAAGAATTGTTTTTGTAATTTTTTCCGATTCAAAATTTCGGATAATAATTTCAGCTTGCTGGTCTAATAGGTATATTTGGTACATTACATGAACATAAGAAACTCTGAAATACTAAACAGGGTTTTTTCGACTAACTTAAAACTCTAATAGAAGCATTCATAATGAAATCATTCATACTATGTATGTAATAGAAATACTATTCAATAAATAAGGCCTTTATGGGACGGGACGACTGTAATTTATATATAAAAAAAAAACCCAAATATATTCCAAACTTTTAAACATGATAATTAAAATAAAACATTTTTTTTTTTAATTTATCAGGGAAATCCTTTGATCATTTTGTTTAATTTTTATATTTATTTACCATTAATTTTAATAATTAGTTGTAGTAATTTCATTAATTAGTTATATTATTATATACTCATTTTTTACTTTAAACTACTTCCACTAAAAACAAAAAGAAAAGAATCTTCAATTATACAATAAACATACACTTATTCGTTAAAGATATAATTAATTACCAAGTATATGTATTAAGAAATTTCATGTTAAATTTTATATTATTAATATTTATGATTACTGCATATGATTATTATTATTTTTTTTTATTATTAATCAATGAATTCTTCTCAATTGTAAAATATTTATAAATTATTTGTATGCGTATAAATGGTATATTGTTTTTTAAATCAATTTTTTAACTCGTTTCCTTTTATAGCTATAAAAAAAACATTTAAATTTAATCAATACATAACATTCTAACTAAAAAAATTAATTATTCTTATTAAAAGTACACATTAAGTTTTTAACAAAAAAAAAAAAAACATGTATGACCGCATATGCGATGGTTATATAATTAAATTTAAAATACATATTATTCTAATGAAAATTATAACTAAAAAGAAAACAAAAAAAAAACATCAATGAAACATCACTTATAAATTTCGTTATTTAAATTTGATATACATACCTACATATATGTGTAATGTATGTATGTGTATCGACTGTTAGAAAATCTGATTTTAGAAGTAATGAAAACTAAAAGTTGTCCATAAAACTATTCAAAATAAAACAAAATTATTCTTTATTACGAAAATGCCTAACTTTACGAAATCAAATTTTAGGAGAACATAATTAAAATAATAAAATTGACTGTAGTTTAAAAAAATTTAAAATATAAATTAATAATTTTCGATTACTGATCTGTTTAAGTGTAGGAAATATATTGATAAAAGTGGACGTTTTTTGAGCTTCGGTAGAAAAGAAAAAGAATTAAGTCTCTTTAATCTTATATTAAATACATAATGTTTATTTTATTATAAAATATTTGCAAAGGCTTTGTCTTCAAATTAAGATTCAATTAAAAATAGAATTGTTTTCTGTTTTCATGTTATAAAAATTATGCGATTTTTTGTTCTAAATCGTAAATGTTTTTTAGCATCTTGATGCTGTTGTTGTTAATTAAATAATGTTATCCATATTTGTATGTCATCAAATTTAATTATATACAGTCAATTAAAAATGTATGATTGATTCCGACAATTTGTCTAAATTAAAAAAACAGATTTGATAACATATCGAAATATAATTAGACTGGATATATTTCGAATATAATTAGATAGAATTTAATTATTTACAATGATTTATTATTAATAAAAAAAGAAATATTTTTACAATTCTTGTTATAGAAAACTTCAGTTTAAGAAAATTATATATACACAATAAAAGTAAAATATACTTTGTTTCATTACTTCAATTTATTAATGTATACTTAGTTATAATACAAAACATTAAATTCAAAATTAACTTTTGATCGCAAAAAATATGTGTATAAGTAACTAATTTTGAATCAGTTTTAATTTTTACCATTTTTTTCAACATTTTATTTTTTATTAAGTTCAAAATTTATTTAATGTATTATTTTGACAATTAGATTTTTTATATTATTGTTTATTTTTATTTTATATTTTAATCAACTAAAGTAATACCTATATTACTATATATACATACGTTCATATATGTTCATATATATATAGAAAAATGGTATATATATATTTTATAAAGTTTCAATTTTTTTTTCGAAATAGATAAAATTCCTTGGTAATCCATATTAATTTTTATTATTATAATTATAATAGTTTAATTTTAATGTTATAATTATAGTAATTCACGTAAATACATTTATATATACATATATATGGGTATGAATATAATATATAATATATATTGCAAATAAACATTAAAATAGATATTATAATATATAAGTTGTTTTTTTTTTTTTATAAATTCAAAATTAATTATCAATATCACTTAATTTTATCATTAATATTTATAATATTTATTTTCATAGTATATTTCATGAGTCCTAAATATTTTTAAATTCAATTTATATCATTATTTGTATTTTTTGTGTTTATAAAGTAGTATAAATAAAAATTTTTTGAATGAAAACCATAGAAAACCTGAAGCAAATTGAAAAATATACACAATAAATGTATTATTTAAAATAATAAATTTTTTCCAATGAACATATAATTATCTCTTCTTTAGGTAGTATAGTGTTACACTTCCCTTTTTCCTTATGATAAATGGAATGACATACTACCTTCATTAGCTGCAATCTTTAATTTTGTACGCATTACCTCTATGCTTGAATATTCTGGTAATTTCAAATAATTAACACATGTCATCACAGATGGTAAGTAATCATTTGGATTTTGATTTAAATCTAATGTTTTACGAACAATAGTCAATGGTGGCGTTAGAGATTTAAATCCACCTGTTGGTAAACGGGGACTTCCGGTTACAAATTGTAAGAAAGCTCTCTGCTCATCACGATTATAATTTGATAAAATTTCATATAAATATTTTATAGCTATTGAATCTTGTGTGAATCCATGATCTGTCCGGCAGCATTCCTGCAACATACGAATATCCCACTTCTGATATTGTTGAGTTCCAGTACCACAAAATACGTTCTCTAATTCTTCAGGATAAAACATACGTAATCGTTGTGAAGGAAACACTGTATCAAAACCTAAAAATATAGCCAAAGGAAAAAGAATGAAAATGAAACATTACAAAGAAAAAACAATTATTTAAATAATAAAATAATATTGTAACAAGTGAAAAATTTCAATACTTTTCCCAAATAAATATGACACTAGCTAATTTATATTATACCAAATGTAATTTTTCTTTTGTTTTATAGGCCATTCCTAATTATTTGTTGTGAAAATATTACTTTTTTAGAACAAATTATTGTAGTATTACCCATTCCTCCTCTTTAAGCTGGTAAAAATATTCAGATTAAAAATATTTAGATTGAACTTGCAATTTTTAAGTTCTAAGTATGTAAAAAGATGAAACATATTTTTGAATTTTGAGACAAAACCTACTTTTTTCTAATTTTTGAAGTAATATTGTTTCTGCCTTGAGAAATATTTACAATTTCAATCAACAAAAATTTTATTTACTTACAACGAAATTTCTTTGTAAACTCTGCCCGTGAGTTCTTACCTCACACAGTTTACAAAATGTAAATTTACCTGGTCCCAAGTAAAAGTAAGAACGTTGGGTAATCGTAAATCAAATTTACAGCCTTACATTTTAACTAAATTGATTTAACAAATACAATACAAGTTTTATAATACAGAATGACTTTTTTTAAAAATTGTCACTTTCATTTCTCCCAAGATTATAATATAGTAACACATAACTTTTCAATGAAAATATAAATAAAAAAAAAAGTATTTAAATTATTGATCATCTCACCTTCCCTTAAAGCTTCAAATTGTCTTTGTACACCTTCTAGAAGGAACCAATGAGTAACTAGTGAAATATACTGATGTAAGTTATGAATTGTGACTGGCATATCTCGACCTCCACGTCTCAATTCAATGTTTGCATGGCCAGGTAGAACAAAATCTAAACCTAAATCAGCAATAGGGCAACCATCTAAATCTAACGATTCGATCTATTTAAATTGTAAAATCAAAAATATTAATGTGATTACTGCAATATTTATATGAAATAGCTTTTTCACCTTGTCAGTCTTTTCCATAGCATCAAGTGTATTATCACTTAATAACGCATCACGTTGCCTGACGATGTCTTGTAAACGTACTAAAGTTTGTTGAACTTCAGGCGCAACAAGCGCTAATTCGGCTAATCCGAGCGATAATTCCTCTAAAAGCAACCATCGATAGAATGGAATAGAAAATGGCAAATCCAACTAAAAATAATTTGTTTTTCATTTTGAACCATTAACTTTGAGATTAAAAATTACCATTCGGCTGTCCATAACTGCTTTAGCCATAAATTTACCCAAAAACTTAAATTTCGTTTTCATTTTTGAAATTTGAGATTGTTTCGCTGTTTTTCCTAAAGGCAATGGGAATAAACCATGTGGTACATCAACATATGTTATCGTAATATTTTGTTGTTGTGCCTGTTGTATACTATTTTGTTGAATTTGATCATTGTGGATTTGATCAATTTGTTGGGGCTCACTTAATGATGGCATTGATGGTAAAATAGAATTTGTTGTTTGTACACCAACTTCATGATGCCTTTCACTACTTCCATTATCGCGTAAATGATAATTTGAATGTTGATAGTGATGTATACTAGCTGTACTACTTCGGGTGCTATGACCATGACCAATATTGATATTATCAGCTGCTTGTTCAATAATCATATTCAATGCATTATCATTTGATAAACCGTAGGAAGGTTGACTATTCAACGAATTATTTGTAGCTACACGATGATCTCCAGATCTTGTTAAATGACTTTTGTTGCTACCAAGCCGATTAACAGTGGTATCAATTACATTAATATTACTCGAATTTTCATTGGTATCATCGATTTGAGATAAACCTGGTTTAACTACATCTACAATTCCTGAAGAGTTTTGTTTATAACTATCACTACCATTCCAGAGTCCCAAATCAGATCTTTGAAGTTCAGTTGAAACTAATGCATAAAACTCCAAAGTTGGACCTAATCCGGTACCAACCTAAAAAAGTAAACAATAAATTAAATTTTACAGACATACTTGAAATTTTCAATGTAAAAGTTAATACTTCATGCTCATATTGAATTTCCAACAGAGCTTTAGAATGCCCAAAATCTTGTATAATGTGCTCCGCTTGTTTTAAAATATCTTCACGTGATATCGCCCGTTTTCGCCTATCTAATCTTGGTGTAACTCGTTCTGATGTATCTGATGAATTCAAATCTGGGGTTGTATCTAACAAACGCTGAAGAGCTCTATCACGGTCAAATGATACTGCATAAAATAATAAATGTCTTGTTTCGAATGGAAATAGGAACGGACAAGCCATAGCAATCTGTTGTAACCATTGAGGTAAATTGCCGGTCATTATGACTAAAGGATCTTGTAACTGACGGTTAGCTTTTGCAGTTATTTTTGAATGAATAAATTCTGACTGATTTATTAATTTTTTATGACCAATGCAGCCATATAATGTTTCCCAATGCCGATTTAAAGCATTTATGATTCTCAACATACAGAGTGCATCTGTAGAAGCGTCCTGCACGGTCACTATATCGGTGGGTAATGTACTGATCAAGAATAATGTTAATGATGAAGTTTGGGACGGGGCTATACCCTCTTGCCAAAATTCTGGTTTTTTTCGTAACAATTTTGTTGTTGATGAATTTGACAGTGTTGTAGAGCTAGATTTACTACTATTTTTCTTATTATTTGAAGATGAAGAAATACTGACACTTCCTAAATGAGTTCGGCTGCTACTGGCACCACCACTAGAACCACCTACTGTATGATCATCCTCTATTGGTCTGTAATAAATTGTATGTTGTTGTACCCAAATACTAGCGTTACCTAGGGCAGCAAAATTTTAATACATTAAGATAAAGTACTGCAATAAAATATATATGTATGTATATTACCTAAAGGTGTTTCTGTATCAGTATCAGTTTCTGATTGATCATTAACTAAGGGAGAGTACTGCTTAACCGCTTGATACACAGTCATGTTGTATGGCAAAATGTGATCGCCTATTAAGAATTGCAACTTATGTTTGAAACCACTCTGAGACATAACGACCGCTGCCACATTGTCATCCATATCCTCTTCTGAATCCTCTTCTGAATCGCCACGTATGCCTCCGTAACCTCGTACAACTAAATATCGCTCAATTGCTTGAACTAATGCCAGTGGATCAATTTTAACTGTTCCTCCTTTCCACTGGCGAAGATTTGTGCAATCTGGATGCCTTTGTAAATTACACTTTTTGTTAAGAAAGATATTAGGTGAGTACTGTAAATTTACAAAGATCAAAACATTTTTACCTTTAGTTGGTGCGTATTGAAAAATTTAAGAGCACTTGTATTTGATCTGCCTCCTGGACCTGCTGGAAAATCGTGAACTTTTACTGGGAATTGCTCCAGTTGCGTTACGCATCCATTGAGTTTGGCAACAAAAGCACTAAACGGCCCTGTATCAACGTTACTCAATAAATCTGAACTATGAATGCTACATTTTTCTGCTGACAAAGGTAAATTAGCAAATACATTTAAAAAAGCCCTTAATCTAGAATCACGATCTACAATGCCATGTTCAGAAGACATGAAAGTTAACATAGCTTTTATTAAGCCCGAATGATTAACTTCGAATGGCGATATATCACTTTCAATTAAAATTTGTTTCAGCTCTTGGAGGGCTTCAAGGCATTCTTCAGCATTACCATCGAGTTTTTGAATCACGATTGTCAAACGTTGAAGGACACAAGTTGTTGATGAATTAGTTAATGAATTTTTAGAATTCTCTTGTTCAATATAACGCTTAACAAATGATATGGCTTGGTCTCGGACCCATTGTCTAGCTTTTTCACGATTACCAGCAGCAATAAGATTAGCATTTGAAATACTTTTTCCTAAATTCGAGCCAGGTGTAGAACTCGAACTCATTGCCGACGAATTGGATGAATTATTACTGTTGTCTTTGGTAAACGTATTATTATGATGAGAAGACTGTCTTCCCCAACGGGCTGGATTTAACGAAGCCAGAAATGAAGTTTTACTGCTGCTACTATTACTATATTGATTGTTGCTACTGTTAGCACCGGTACTAAATCTTGAACGACTTGAACTAGAAGGTGTATTGCGGCCTGATGTGCTGTTATTACTATTTCCAATAGAAGTTGCTCGATTAATAAGTTCCTGCACAACAGATTCCTCTTGCCTTGATTTCGAGCGACTACTCGATTGAGATTTTCTTTTCGGTGGGACTTTGCGTTTTAGCATATCAGTCATTTTTGATTGAATAGCTGCTGCAGATGATGTAGGTGTACCATGTTGAGCTTGTTGGTGTTGTTGGCCGCTGTGAGATTGACTTTGTTGATGCACGTTATGGCTGCCAGTCACGATTGCAGAGTGACTATTAGAATGATGTTGAACAGTGGCAACTGCTGTTGGGGGAATAACTGGAGCAGCTGCAACAATAGTAGCTCCCGCTGGATGATGTACCGAATTTGGTGGTGCTGCGGCAATCATTGGCACAGCGGCAACTTGCGTTGGTAATATTTCTAAATGGTGAGTTGCGAAATGCGGTGGAGGCGGTGGGTGATGATGAAGAGCGGCTGCTGCATGGTGGTGGTGATGATAATGGCTGTATTGCCTTGGATCATTTGGTGATGAAGAAGAAATTACAAAGAAATTTCCATTAGTTGGCAAAGAACTAGCAATCGAAGGAGCAGGATGCGCTTGATGGTGATGTGAGGCTACAACAGGTGTTGAATGATGATAATGCGAAGTCGGGTGGTGTTGATCTGATGTGCCAACAATTGGTGTCTGGGCCTGATTCAAACTGATTGCTAGAGTCGAATGAGAAGTAGAAGGTAGTTGCAAAGTATTTGGTGACGATGGCTGCATAGAAATGCTCATTTTAGAATTAAGCATACTCATTGCATGACTGAAATTTTTCATATGAGATCCATGACTTTTAGAAGAGCTAGATGGTACTTGGGATGATATAGCGGCCGAATTTGGAACTGAAGAGGACGCATTGTTCAAAGGTGAATTATCAAAATCGAACGGGTTTGATTGCAAACCTGTGGCTGAAGCTGGTGCGCTTAATGCCCCACTATTTAATTTAGGCGAGGGATTAGCGCAAATCGGTATGCTGGGATCGGCTAATAGATTAATTTGATGAATAACACCTTCTCGTCTGAAATGAGTTCCAAAAACATCTGGTAGTTTTTGCATTAAAATTTCAGCCATTTGTAAAGCACCAACCACTATTCTCAAATCATTTGAAGCCATCATTCCTGCTAAATGGCTCGACACGATTTGGTTTTTAAGTACTTCTTTAAGAAGTTCTGGACTAGCATAATATACCATTCGTAGGAGGGCTCGTAAACATTTGTATCGAACGGCTGGACCAGCCGAAGAGCTGTACACTTCATAAAGAACACCAAACAAATTTTTTATAAATTCCGATGCTAGACCGCGCTCTTCCTTAAGGCATGCTATACGAGCATCAACCGCAGCGGAATATGTGCGTTGAAACTCTGGAGCATTTTGTTGACCTGTTGCTGATAAATCTTGCCCATTGTGAACTGGATTCGAAATCGAAGAGGATATATAACTTGGATTCACTTTTCTTTGAACAGGACGGGTTGTACCAGTATCTTCATTAATTTGCTGCATTGAATGAAAGTCGATCGTGTATGTTCGTCCAAATGCGCTCAAGCTTATTTCATCATCTGAGTTTATATGAGCCGCTTCAATCATTCTTGAATCTATAGATGAATAAGAATGCCAAGTACCTCGATCATCACGCCATTGCCACTGAACTTGGTCTTGTATTCCAGAATTCGGGCGCTCTAACAAATGATCAACATGAAATATACCATCACTTGGTAAACGCGGCATTAGTTCGCCAATCAAGCAAGTTATTTCATAAAGCTCTGAAGGACTGCGTGAAACCAATTCAACGTCACCATTTTGACTTGCAAGTTCTGCTGACCCAGTTAAAAGGTAAAGAAGTGTGGATGCAATATCATTTTTTAAGAAACTTATTGCTAGATCTGGACAGCTGCCACACATAACTGCTAGCATACGTACAACATTTGTAAAAGTTCCAGTATTTAAAACTGATGGAGTGACAACCAAAAGTTGCTGGCAATTTTTAAGCAAATCATTGCTTGCAATTTCTTGCAACTTTTTAGAATCGTTTTGGAAACTTTCAACTAATCGATAAAAAGCCGTGCAAACACTTTCAACACATTTTTTATCTTGTTGTGTTAACAAACGTGCAAGAAGTGGTAAACTCTCTGAGACAAAATGGAATTCCTCTGGGTGTAAGTTTAAACAACAGTTTGCCGTTATGGCTAAGGCAGCACGTTGCGCATTTATAGAAAAGAAATCTAAGTATGTGAGACAAGCTGAAACTCCATTAGCTTGCAAAATTGCTTTATTGTGGCGTCGTGATAAGATTTCTAAAGCTGTTAAGCTTTGTTCAGCTACGTCCATACATTGTATTACTTGTAGTTTCTCCAAAAATACAGGAATCGCTTCTACAACCGTACCTGATGAACGCGGTAGTGCTTCTAACATATAAGCTAAAGCACGACAAGCATTATTCATAATATCAAAATTGTGTTCCATCCGCAAAAGATTTATTAAAGCAGGAACAACTTGCTTTGTAGGAAAACCAGCTAAAGTATCTTCATTTCCCATAACTAACATTTGACACATTTCAATTGCAGCTTGAAGTTGCTGAGATTCATCGTGCGATTGTAAACCTTGTAATAATTGTTGAGCCTTGGACGAACTAGAATTTCCGATAGTTCTGTGTAATATATGAGTCATTCGCGGTCCTAAAGCACCAAAAAGATGCGGCGGCAGTCCACGTGCTTCTAATAAAGCCTGTAAACGACCTACTTCACTGTCATCACTTTCAGAATCAGCATGAGTAGATGCGGATGTTGTTGCGACACTGGCAGTCGTGCCGTTATTAGTTGCTGTCGTTGTCGTTGAACTATTACCGCCTATGTTGCTTCCGCTATTAATTGGATTCGAAGAGCTGCCACTATTAGTATTAGTTCCAGCAGCCGATTGTTGAGCCATTAAATGCAAGTTTGAAACATCTAAATTTCCTGAAACAAAAAGATAATACATAAATAATCATTACAATATGAAAATTCAACTATTTTCTCATAGAAATTATAAATACATAAATAGTTAGAAATTATAAATACATGCATATCGGTATTATGTAATGATATTTTGCATAAATGTTTGTATACACAAAAGCAGAAACAGAAAATACATAATTTAGAAAATTATAAACAAAATGGTTACTTGAAAATAGCATTGTTGAATTGAGTTTTAACTGAAAAATTAACAAATATGTGAAAACATAGTGAAGAAAATATATACAATTTAGAAAATAGAATCTCTTAAAGAAAGATAATTGTACAGCGATCAGTACATAGATTAAAAAAAAAAGCAAGTAATATTGCATTAAAATGAAATAATTGATAGCTTTTTAATTTAAATATATTTTTAAAGCGAAATAATGATTCAAAGTTTTTCCATACTGTTTGAACAGTTATTTTAAAATTTCCAAAAAAAAAGTACATTTAATAACGTAAAACTATTAGTCACTAATTACTACTTTAAAGAAGAACTGCTAATTTAAACAAAAGCTTTAATTTACCTGGCGCTAGAGAAGTTTTATGGATTTTAATATTTGAATTAATATTCGAATTAGCTTGATCACCTCCTGATGGTCTTACAGACGTGCCATCGCTTGCCATAACAACAGCTATAGCACCACTACCACTACTATTATTTCCACCACCACCACTACTAACTCCACCGACACCACTAGGCGATGGTAAATGAGAAGATGCAGAAGTTGATGGACCAACAGTTAATACACTAGAATTATTATCGTATTTATTATTGCTACTTGTATTTCCGGTTATATTCTTTCCGGAATTGATAGAAAAATTTGTAGTATGATGAATACTGTTATTTGTTTGACGATAATTGTTATAGTGGTGAGATGTTATCGCATTATTACTATAAATGTGTGACGAAATGCCATTCCCTCCGCTATTGCCGGCACCAGTGCCGACATTGTTGCCGCTACCTGAAGAAGGGCCAGCACTATTATTTGTTGAAACAGCTGCTCCGAAACCACTACCACCAGACGCAGCTGTTGAACTACTCACACAAGAACCCGTTTTGCCACGTGAACTACGTCTTAATATATGAGATGAGGATGAACTTAATGGATTTGACAGATGTTGAGAATGATGCTGCTGTTGCCGATAATGATGATTATAATGATGTGAATTATGTGCCGATGAATTTGTTACTGTTAGGACAGAAGACGGTTGTAAGTTTGATGCTGATAGATTATTTAACCCAACTGCCGCAGTTTGTTGTTGATGTTGCTGAATAGCTACAATTGTTGGATCAATATGTTGCTGATGACTTGTTGATCCTTGTGCAATGGCAATCGTAGTTCCAGAAGCTCCACCGAAATTTGTGTGATAATTTTGGTTGATAAGCGATTGAAGAGAATGTGGCTGATGAATAGATTGATGTTGTTGTTGTTGTTGCTGTTGTATATTATAGTGAGTATGGTGGTTCGGTTGTGTTTGATGCTGCGAGTGCTGTTGAGGATGATGATGTAAAACTTGATGATTAATATTGTGACTTGGTTGTTGTTGATGTTGTGGGGCGTCTCTACCTGCACCACCACTACGAGCTAATCGTGCCCCCAGGTTCGGGGCTTTGCTGTAGCCCGTCGTCGTTGCGGCTGCGACTTGTGACGATTGTCCTTGTAAATTCTGTATTGGTAATAAATGGCCGATTTGAGTTGGTGCAACTCCAGCTGCGGTTGCAGGAAAATATATAGTTGTTCCACCTAAAATTCCTGATAAATGAGTGGAATTTCTTAATGTGGTTTGATAATAGATTGTATTATTACTATCAGTATATTGATGAGGATGTTGATGCTGATGGTGATGATGATGATGATGCTGTTGTTGTGACTGATTTATATTTGATTGATGTGGTAATTGCTGGTGTAGCTGTTGTTGGTGTTGTTGTTGATGATGTTGCGTCTGATGTTGATAATTTTGGTGCTGTTGCTGCTGTTGGTGACGTATGTTATAGTTTTGATGCTGGTGATGATCAACCAAAGTAGTATTATTCCCTCCTATTATGATATTATTATTTGTACTACTATTACTACAACTTCCTAAAGTGCCACCTCCGCTGCCACCGGCACCAAAACGTTGACGTTTTTTCGGAATCGCTCCTCCGTTTCTATTACTTCCGTTATTAGTATTACAGTTGCTGCTTTCAGCACCACCTAAAATTTTTTTGTAAATACAAATTACAAAAATTACATGTCATTTTTTAAATGTTTTGTTATTTTGGTTTGTTTGTTTTTTGACTTTTTTTTTATTTAATTTTTGTTGATTTCAAAATTTAATATTAAATTTTATAATTGGAAAAGAAAACTTTTTATTTTTTTATTGAAAATTAATTTAGTTTTTTCAATCAAATAATTCAAATTGTATAAGAATGAAAATAGAAGAAAAAATCTGATAACATTTAACATAAAAAAAAAGTATAAAAATTTAAGTGATTAAACAAAATATGTAAAAGAAAATTAGGAGTAATTAATAAAAGATCAAGTAAATTAACTTAATTTTCTATCAAAATTATTCAAAATGTTTATATAAAAATAAGAAAAAATAAAACCGCAACTCATCTTCTCTTTTTAGTTTGATATGTAATTCTATTTTGTATTTTATTATTCAAAAAAAATAATATTGGTGGCGCAGGTGGTGGTGAAGTGATTATCAGCATTTGCATATTAAAGTGATCTACTTCTGAACACAGTTGATGACATTTGTTTGATAAATAGTTCTTGCTAATGTATTGAGAGTTTAATTTAAAAATTGCAATTGTAAAAATCTATTTTTTTTTTTGGCTGAATTTTCTAAAGAAGATTCATAAGTACAAGTAGCAATAATAAATATATTAAATACATATTTTTATTTCGATGTTTAATATTTTATAGAATATCAAATTTAATGTCAAATAAGTGTCAAAATTTTAGTTTAAATTATTCTCTAGCACCAAATATGTACATATAAAAATCCTAAAAGCATATTAAATGAAAATAATTAACTTGAATAGAGAATATATTATTAAAAGAAAATATTCAACAATGCAATTACGATTAACTTCAAGTTTTGTATTTTTTGAAAAAATTTTCTTTATGCATATATATATGTATGTATATTTGTATATAAATATTTAAAAAGAAAAAGAATATTAAAAATTTCTTATAATTTTTTTTTTGTTGAATTTAGCGAGCGCATTTTATGGATATTATTTTAATAAAATAAAAACAAAACCAAAATTATATGTAGTAAAATACAAAACGGAAAATAAATGAAAACTTTATCAATATATTATCAAATTTATTAGTACATATTAAAAATTAAAAATTAAAAACAAAACAGAAGTAATTTTTTTTTTATTTTAATTTACATTCAAATAGGTTTTAGTTTTGTGATACTTGTTTATTTCAAGTAATTAGATAATAATCATAAGAATATGTGCTTCTTAAACATAAGCAGATTATGCCAGTTCCTTCTATTTCCGTAGTAAATTTATAAAAATCCATCCCTTAGTGTTTTTATATTTTATCAAGAAATTTTGTCTAGTTTTCTAATTTAATATAACCTCTTAAAACTATCATAATAAACACTTTAACAATTGCAAAAGATAAGTGCAATTTTTAAAACTATTCTTCTGGAATATTTTTGATCTAATCGGAAAATTTTATAAATGAAACTACTTGGAAGTCTCAACCAAATATATATCAGAGTGCTATACATATCGCGAGCGCCAAATTCATTTTAATATCTACCATTTTGGTAGTCAATAATTTTCTTAAATGAGCTTACCAACACAAATAGTATTATTACTTAATAATCTTTTAAATCAGGCATGCCAAACATCTCTGAATCCTGCGGCCCGTTACAATTTTTGAAAATTATGAAATTTAATTCTTATATTTTTGTTACAAATATTGATTTAGATCAGTAAGAAAGTGTTGAAAGCAGAACGGGGGTTTGTTAGACATCCACACCCCAAACTTAAGCAAACAATACAAACTGTATGTAAAATGTAGCTGAAACAGAATTTTCACGTTATTTTGTTTCCGAAAGTGGAAAGCGACTGCTCTAAAAATCAAAGACATATATATTTGAACCAGTTTAATTTTCTTATATTTGTAAACAGTAGACCAGTTAATTAATTTTAAATTTTCCGAATATTCATATTTAATTTAATAGATGTCAAACTAAATTTAACCTATTTACTTTTTCATTTTCTGTTGATATTGAAACACTTGATGCAAATTTAAAACTGAAATCGAAATGCTATGCGATTCTGTATTAAAACAAAAATTTAGATAAATCTATAATATATCCTATAAATCTATTTGCCGATATTTGAATTAGTATTAGATATAATCAATTACTATTGGCTCTAAAATATTCAATCAATATCAAAAATTACATCTGCCAATTAAATTCAACCAAATTTAAAATTCAAAAAAATGATTTTATATTTTTTTTGTATGACTGTATTATCCTTTATATGTTGATAATAAAAATTAAAATTTGAGTATAATTCAGTAGTTTAAGTTTTTTATTGCCCGAAGAAATGTGCGGAAATCCTAAAATGGCCCGTGATGATAAATCAGTTTGACATGCCTGTTTTAAATGAATGGTTACAGATTATTTAAGATTTTAAAATAAAACTCGCTCAATAAAACATTCTGCACTCAATTACGTTGTTCCAGATTTTTTTTCAATAATCTTTTTTTGTATTCCTCACCCAAATATACTGGGTAATTCAATTATGAGTACAATATTATATAGCAACACTTAGATAATTGAAAATGGGTAAAACTTCTAATTGGAAGGGGGTGTTAAAAGCTCAATAGTTTTTGTTATACAAATATTTTTAGAAAATTTTTACTTGATTCGCATTTTTTGAATCCAAGAGAAGTGGGATCTTGGAATGAAAATTTAGAAAATGTTACCCCGTCTACCAAAATAAAAGATCTGCAGTCAATTTGACATTCTTAATTTTGGTACAATCTTAATTTTTAAGAGTATTTAAGTAAGAATGTACTAAATTCACGTTGTACCATTATGTCAGAAGCAAGCGAAATTGACGCCAACATGACAGATTTCTGCAAACTAAAATTTCAGTATGCATTAAAAGAGAAACATTGAAATGTAAGTAGAAAACATTATATTTTTGTTTACCAAAATGTGTAACATTTTAGTAAAAGTAGACATTTTATTTAATCTTTAAAAATTTTGCAGTTTTCGTAGACGCCCTTAATAAAAAATTTAAAACAGAGGTATTGCCCAATATTGTGTCTTACATAATTTCGGAATGTCTAGCGTTTCAATGTTAGAAAAATTTAATTTTTTGTTTCCTTAAAGTTTTTTTATTCAGTTAATTTTAGAAAAAGTACATAATTTTTAGTTAAAATACAAAATTTCTTGCATTCGTGAAGATATCTTTTTTACCAAAAGATATTTTTACGTTCTTACGTTCAAATATTTAAAAATAATTATTACCCAAGAACACAAAAAAAATTAAAAAAAAAATTATTTTTGTCAACAAATTTATTAAATTTTCAAAAGACCCTACAATTCGATTTCTTTTTAAAATAATGGTCACAAATTACGTACGAACGTTCAAACAACCAACAAATGTAAGTTCTATACAATTCTTAAATGGTCACAGTTTACATAACTTCAACGAAAATAGGATGTGGACACACAAAAATAATGAAGAATAAAAATAAAAAATAAACCTAAAGTCTTTAAGACTTTATTTGTGAATAAAGGTTGAAAAATTTCATAAGAACTTTTCAATAATAAGAACTGTATCAGAATAAATTTTTTAACATTTTTCTCAAAAGTTATTTTCTGAGACTCTGAATCTTGCAGGATCGAGTTTGACATCTTGCAACATGAACTTTTTGGAATTTTTTAAAGCCTTTAGTGTGACCTTAGAAAAACCTATTTCAATGTGCTTATTATACCAACCGCAATCACTATATCGAGAAGCATCGACTTACGTACAATAAAAATGCTGTTAAATTATTCAGTCTCTAACTTTTTGTTCAAATGGATGATTTAACAATTAAATCGGAAATTAAATTATATGGCTAAATTGACTTAGATTTCGGTTTCAAAAAAAACATTATACTTCATCGAGTCATGTTGATGTAAGATACGTTGTAACATATTGATAAATTTATACCCACTTGTGTATGAATATGATATGGAAAACTAAATATTTGGAAAACCAAACAAAACACAAGGAATTTTAATGAATATCCTTATATTTTCCTACTTTGAAGAGTAAAGACCGTAAAAGTTCATGCCCTCTCTCTACATCCAATAGGATTGAGTCCGCCACCGTGTGATCCCCCAGCTCTCGAGAAGAAAAAATCATTCACAAGATTCAAATGAAGTTAATAAATTTATATTATAATAAATTCTAAGTTATATTTAAAGAAAAAAGAAAAAATAGTAAATGTCGAATCATATCAGGAAATCAATGTCAAGAATCTCCTATAAGTATAAGAAATCTTTCTCTAGAAATGAAAACACAAAGTACGTCCAAATTTGCTTTTTGTAATATTATAATTGGATTAAAGCAAATAAGTACTTCTACATGTGATTTTGTACATTTATATCTAAATGTACAGAAATTCGTTTACATTACTGGAGCCGTATGGTTGGAATGCAAATTTAAAGATTCATAACTTATTAATAAAAATCACTTCAGAACAAATTGTAGTTCCTTCAATAATTTGATTGTTGGAATGGTTGGTATTATTGTTGAATCACAATACAATAATAACTATGCATTAATTTCATTAAATAGGAATGTTAAAAATTGAAATGTTACTCACTTAGAGAATTTCTTAAGCGGCCGCTTAATTGTTGACCACTAGATGCTGTGTGGCTATGACTGACTACAGTTGCTGTTGATGTTGCTGCTGAAGTTACTGTTCTCGTCCCTGTTGTGGCTACTGTTGTAGCTTGTGTTGTAATTGAGTTAATATGATCAGAAGAACGTAAATTTCTTCTATAATTATTACCACTACTGCTAGACGCAGTGGTGGTGCTACTACTATTTGCTCCCGTTGATGAATTTAAGAAACCAGCTGCTGTTGTTGCTATTGCTGTTGTTGATATTAATGATATTCTACTTTTGTTATTATTACTATTAATGCTATTATTACTAAATGATACTTGTGAAATATTATTAATATTATTATTACGACTATTTGCTGTGTAATGTTGGTTGTCCACTTTTAATAAATTATTTTTATGTTTTGTTCTTAAATTAACACTTGATGTATGTGCTTTATTGTCTTTTATTAATTTTAATTGTTTTTTATTTTTTGGACTTTTACTATTATATTTAGCAGAAATGGCTGCTCCTGTTGTTACTGTTTCAGTTTTTATAAAATCTATTGAGTTTTTTGTTGATAACGTAACTGTTGAATTTAAGGATTTTTTATTATTGAAATTAACTAAATCACAATTATTAACACTATTATTGCTATTATTTTTTGAATTTGTAGCACTAATGCTATTACTACTGTTAATGCAATTATTATTTCTATTACTAGGATTACTACTACTTTTACAATTATTTAATTTTAAATCACTTTTATTTATAATCAAAAAGTTTTCAAATGAATTTTGTGCTTTTAAAGAGTTTTTAGTATTTGATGTTGAAACAGGTAAAAGTTGTTCAATATTGTTGTTATTATTACCAGTGTTTGTATTTTTCTTAATACTGTTAGCACTATTACTTCGATAGCTAGCGCGAGTTTTGCGATAGTAATTCAATAAGTTATTCTGATTTTTTCTGCCTTTGGCTAAATTTGATGATGAAGCTGGTGCTAATATTAAAGAAGTTGTTGGTGTTGAAAATAATGTCTTCAATTTATCACTTTTTAATAAAGTATCAGGTGCTTTTTCACAAATACTTTCCAAACGTAATTGTATACTACGTGCAATTGTTCTTTGATCAGGTGAAGTTGTTTTTGATCTAGTGCGATAAGCTATACAATCGATAGGATCTTCGTTCAATTCTTTTACTTCACCTTTGATATAATTTATATTGTCACCAGATTTTGATGTAGAACGTTTTCGACTACTACTTCTACTTTTTGTGCCTTCTTTTATTTTTTTCTTTGTTATTGTTTCTTTTGTTGCGTTTGCTTCGGTTTGTGTTGGTGTTAGTAAGTTTAAATTATTACAAATTAAACTTTTAATCGATGTACCAGTGTAATTACTATTACGTTTATCTTTTTTTGTTGCACTTTCACAAGATTTTTTTGGTCGAAATTCTTCAGATTCTGCAATAGAAAATTTAGTTACAATGTTGAGTATAAAAAAAAACAATAAACAAAACAGAAAATAGTTTTTAAAGTATTAATTTGAACTTGAAAATATTAAATTGAAAATGGGATCAAATTAAAAATTTAATAAGTTCACATAAACTCTAAAATTCACAAATACAAATTTTAATATTTTTACAATAAATATAAATACACATATAGTATGTATGTATTTATCAAATAGAAATTTTTATGTAAAGCACTTACTTGCTGAATTTAGTTGATCCGGTGCTAAACGTCGTTTGCGTTCTAAACGATTATTTCGACCTTTTGAATCGATTGATGTATTTAAAGATATAAATAACTCTGCAGCTTTGCTTCTTGTTGTTGGCGATGATATATTTCTATCTTCAAATGACGATGTCGTTGTATCCAAATTTCTGTTATTGTTATTATTACTATTAATATTTTGATTATTACTATTTGTAATGGAAGAATTAATTTGACAACTATCTATAGATATTGGAGATAATGAATCGCAACGATTTCTACTGTTACTACTACGATTGTTAATTTGTCGAAGATTTTTTTGATTTGTATACGAAATAAATTGAGGTTGTTCGTGTTGTTGCTGTTGTTTTTCCTGTTTTGACTTTATTTGATTTGCCGTTGCTGTTGTAGTTGAAATACTTGATGATGATAATGAACGTTTATGACGTAATCTTAATGTTTCTAATTTATCAAAATCAAATTTTATTTCTGTTTTATTTTTAGTATTGTTTTTAATTTTGCTATTAAAAATTTTATTACGTGTACGACTTTGGCGTGATGAATTTGTAATTTCCGATGTTATTTTATTATTTTTATTATAATTTAATGAGGTATTTTGCGTCGATGTTGTAGCTGCATCAGCTTTTATCGCTGTTGTATAATTGCTACTGCTATGATGCCCCTCCGTCACTGCAGAGAGCAATTGTTGGTTAACGGATTCGGCCATAGACGACACTTAACCGTCCACTCTATGTCATTAAACATGCCACCTGAACAGTTTTTTACTATTTTCGTCGTATTCAAATAAAATTTTATTATTTTAAATATTTTAAATTAATTTTTTTTTTAATTTAAACTTTTGTTTTTTAACTTGTCAAATATTGTTTTTTTTTTAATCTTCTTTTTAAAAATCAAAACTAAATGAAAAATATTTTTGTTACTTAAATTTTTTTATATATTATATTTATGAACAAATGTGTAAATAATAGAATGATGTTTTTTACTTTAATTTTTCTATTATTTTTTTTATTAATTTTAAATATTTCCCTTTATAAAAGAAATTTTTGTTCTTGAAAACTACAAATTGTGTATTTTTGTTTGCAATTAACTGCGCAATCTGAAAAGAAAAGAGATCATTTTTTATTAATTTATTTTTTTATTAAACGTGAATATTTTGTGACAAACTTATTACTTATTAAACTTAATTCTAAATTATTTATTGTATTTCAAATATACTTATACATAATGTATATTATTATTACGAAAGAGTTTGTTATAGCTCCCATTTTAAAAATATTTAAAAAAAAAAATACATTCATATGTACATAATACGAATTCGTATTATGTATTTTTTTATTCGACTCAGTTTGAGTTTGCAAGTACAATTTCAAAGAATTAAAAAATTATAATTATCTTATAATTTAAAATGAACAAATATTTGGAACACGACTTTTAAATAGCCGATTTCTTCAAGAAACTAATTCCCAATATATGTACATATGTACATGTGTATGTGCATACTAGGTATGAAATAAAATACCTACATAAGTAAAATTTCAAAATTTACAAGTCAATTGAATAATAATTAGTATATATTTGTAGCAAATAGACCATCAATTTAACATTTAATGTAATCTTTCATAAATTTAATGTAATTCATATAATATATGTGTATAATTTATATAATTTAATTGGTAACGTAAATATTTTACGATTGTTTTATTTATTAAAATGCAAAATGTATTAGATGTTGTCATTAAAAAAAATCAAATCTAGAAATAGTTTTGTAGCAGGCTATATATATACATACATATATACATTTTTCTATATATTTGCAATTAATATGGTACATATATAAACATACATGTACATAATTGGGACCCACAAACATTTTCATTTGTATGTTGTTTTCCTATTGACGCAATATTCATAAATTTTTATTTTGTGTTTTGCTTTGTTATTTTAATTTTGCATAAAAAATTTTTTTCATACTCGTATTTTTTAAATGTAATGTTGTAAAACACAATTTGAATTTACTTATCCATGTTGTGAGTAAATGCACGTGTACATACATACATACATATGCATGTATGTAAATTCTTAATATTTATGTAGTTTATTGTTAAACTGTTTGATTACTGAAAATAAAAATTTAATAAAAGCAAACTTCACTTTCATGAATCTTCAATTTCTAACGTTCTCACGATCTTCACTTTGCTTAGAATAGATGTAGTGTCAATATTATGAGAATTCTATGTTCACTGAAAATTAGTAAAAAAGAATTTTAAAAGGACTAATTGTGAAAGTTAATTGAATAATTATAGTGGAATTAGTCAATAATGGCAAATGAAACCCAAGGAAGGTAGTAAGTTATTACAAAGTGGTAAAATAAAAGCAAAAAATTTTGAATACTATTTTTCGTAAAATACTTGGGTACTTAATTTTTTCTATGGCAAATTTTCTAATTAAGTAATATTTTAATAAACGTTAAAAAAAAAACTTTGATTTAATTGATAATCGATTGCAAAACTTTCGATTGTGATATGTAACTGATTGCGTCTTACTCAACCTAAGTCTATCGAGATAATCTTATGTTATCCTAGAATTGACCAAACACTAGTGCGAAATAATCGCTATATTTATAATCTCGTATTTAATTCCTTCTTTTAAGGTTCGCCCCTAATTTTCTTACACCTTATTGCTTTTTTTTTTGTTCTTTTATTAACATTAGTAAATAGAATCAAGTTTTTTAAGATCTGAAAATGATCTATAAAAATTATAAGTAATAAATTGTATAGTGTCTTTAATTTTATATAAGTAGTTCAAATTAATAATAATAATAAAGTTTTTACTATTCAAAAATAATTAAATTGAATATGGGCTGAAATATAGGAACACGAAATCAAAGTTTTATATGACAAAAAGATCGAAAGACCTTGTATAATTTTTGCAAATTAAAATTAGATAGTGATAAGAGTTATGTTTTCGCAAATAATTTAGTTTGGACAGATAAAATAAATATGTATGTGTATATTAACATAGTCAATGATACATCAAGTTTTGCAATTTCCAATGTAAATACTCGTATTTATTAAAATATACGTTTAATATTAGGAATACAAACAGCTTGTAAAAAAATGTGCAATTCATTTATCATGCTAATTATATTTATATTAAATCGAAAAATTTGAAGCATTCAATTTAAATTTTTCTTAAATCTACTTCTCAATTCATTTTATGTTCTATGATTTTTTGCAACATAATAATATTCTTATATTTTACAAAAAAAAAAATTTTTATTTTAAAATTATAGTTTTACGCATATATGCATTTTTTTTGTACATATATTTTTTGTATTGTCTACATTCCTACACAGTAGGGTGATCCGGAACTACATTTAGAACTAACTATTGTTAAAGTTAAGGCGAGAAAAAATTCCTCGTGTGGACGGGAGATGTGTACAACACGGACGTCTTGCAGCAATTTCGAAATGTTAAAAAAACAATCAGATTGGAAACACTCTGTCTGAAAAATTTCCATAACATCATTTAGTTAATCAACAGAAAATTAATCAAGCTGTAAAAAACGTTGATTATCTCGACAAAAAGTTCTAAAGCAAGCTTGTTCGATTTCACCTTAAATAAATATTTTCCTAAAAAAAGGAAAAAATTTTCGAATGAATCATTATCCCCGATCTTTAGCACTAGTTCCAGACCACCCTATGTGTTTATATTTTAATACATGTTAAATTTAAATTCATTTTTTTGTATATATATATTTATACATATTCATGTTATGTTAAAAAATAAAAGAAAAAGTAGGACGAAACAAATATATTTCAGAACAACAAATTTAGGTGAAGGTGAGTTAAGTGCTTCAATCTTTTTACAAAAACTTTATTTAATTCATTATTAATTGAACAGAATATCATATAAAAGATACTTGGCACCTCAATTTATATGAAAAAAGAAAATATGAACAATGTATATTTTTTTACAAAATATAATGACTAAATATATAAATGTATAAGATTTAATTAAAATAGACTTAGTGTTTCTAACTGTTTTAAAATTTAAGCATTTAAAATTAGGTCACTTATAATGTCATGTACTATGCTATATAAATGAGCATGGACATGAAGATTCAGCGGCACCACAACGGGCACAAATGGCCTAAGTGCATCCTCAGATGGCGCCACGTTAATCTAGCATAACCTAACCTAAATAAGCAGTTAACGTATGTTTATTCTAATAAAATATTAATTATTGAATAAATTATTAATAAATTGGCTTACATTTTTATATGAAAATCAAGCGACAAATTCCTACAAGTTCAATTACTTCTATTAATTTTAGCTTCTGAATAAGAACAATATTTCCACATAAAAACCTGGTAAAATTTACATAAGCTATCCTAAAATTGCTTTTAACGTTATGTGTATAACTAAATGTAGAGCACGAACTACTGTAGAGCATAGTTATGTGTATAAATTAACGTGCATCTATTTTATTAAGAAAATAATTTATTTATATAAGACCTTGATATAATTTTCTCTACACATGTACATATATAAAATACACTAATACGTTTTTTATTTAAACATATGTGTTAATGTATAAAATTTTCTACAATTCGATTTTGAAACAAATCTTAATTTCATAATTTTAGAATGCTATTTTCTAGGTTCTCTTTTTATAATCTTGCAAACATAATAATATGAATCCTTTTTTTTTTTTGAAAAAGAAAACAAACGTATATATACATTTACAAATATGTGTATAATTATAATATACTAGGTCTTTTCATTAGCGCTGCATAATATAACTTAAGATGCCTTATATTTGTGTTCATAGTCAAATGTTGCTAATCTAGTTAGTTCATAAACATTGCCAAATTTTCGCAATATCGTAATATGAAGAGCATCATATGAACTATTTTGATTTTATGTATCAGTCTTTTCAGTTTTGAGTTTATGAAAATCTCTACTATGTATATGAAGACATAGTTTAAGGTTTTTTTTATTGATGCGATAATTTAAAATAAAATTATAACAAATTCTTTTTCTATTGAAAGATTCATAAAAACAATATAGACAAAACTCGAATTAAAATTAATTTTTTTTTTAATTGTTCTTATATATATTTCATTAATAAGAAGAAAACTACGTTTACGTATTATTTTAATGCATACATACACATGTGCAATTTAAATTAATTTTGATGCATATATATTGCTAATATATTATGAATTTAGTGCATTTTAAAATAAAAGAAAAAAAATAATAAAATAAATGTATGTAAACATTAAAATCAGGTCACTCTGCCTTTCAGTAAAAGTTCGGTTTCAATATGGGGCCAGTTTTGTTAACATAAAAACCCGAAAAACAAAACAAATCGTTTATTCTTACTTTTATTTTTTTGTTCTTTCTTATTTTTTAAACCAAACACAAACTCTAACTAAGAGTAAAAATTTCGAAAAGTAGGTCATCAACTCAGTTGAAAAATTGAAATTTTTTTCTTAACATTATATTCACATACATATATACATACGTTATATGATAATATTTTGTAACATTGTATATTTTATTACATAATGAAATACATACAATATAAGTACACTATAAGGCATACAGAGAAGAATAAATTATAAAATTCTCAACAATCGATTTTCATTAAAAATCTATCAAATAAAAACAAATCATCAAAATACATTAAAATATCTTAACAATCAGAATAATTTTAAAAATTAATTGCGAAAGTAATTAAGAAAAATTTTGTTAATTCTTCAAACTTTTCATATCGTATGTACCAAAATAATATAAATAACTGTTAGATTTTAGACACTATACCAAAACTTAATTTGTACACAATTTGTAAAGGCCATGAATTCCAATAATTTTTGACGCTACCGTTTTGATATATGTACAGTTTTTGTTGCTGACGCAAGTGATTGTAATTTTTAGATTTTTTTTTACATTTATTCATGTGTTACTCTATTTACAAAAACCAAATGTTATAAATTACTGATTTTCATGTACAAAACTAGAACAGGTAACAAATTTTTTTATAAATTTTTATTTATAAATTATAAAATATCAGCTGACAAGAATTGCTTTAT